GTCCAATTAGTGTCAGTTGAGGGTTTTCCGCTAGATGGGATACAGGTATAGAGTATAGACAGACGAGACATATATATACAGGAGTTTCTGATGTGGTATCGCATGTATATAACAGGATCAAGAGGGAACAGTGGCTTTACAAGTAGAGGTATTAGATCAATAAGTGGTGACGTATCAGCGGGGATTATCGGGGGAAATACCACAAGAACGTCGGGAACGGGATTTGGAAATTGTGCTCAACCAGAGCTCAACTGAAAAGAATTCCATATGCATGTTTATTATACAAGTTGAATAATTTACAGAAATTCATTTAAACTAAATAAATAATGTATTTTGAGCAAATATATTTTTTTCTGTGCCGGAAAAAGTTATATATTTCATCTCTGTTGACAGGTTATAAAATGTCACTTTTCATACATTACTTTTTTTCCGGTTAAATATATTGTTCAACCACCAAAACTCGTGAAAAAACTTCAGAACCATCAGTAAATATTCCAAAATCATCACAAATGCAACAGAAAGTGAGTACCTACATGATAATAAATTGAGATTCTCCTCATATAGTTACCAATTTCGTGATTTTCCATAAATAAATTAATTTGAAGGTCCCAAAAAGAAATGGAATTGACAATAAAGAATCAGAATAATGAATTTGAAGGTCCCCACAAGGAAATGGAATTGACAATAAAAAATCAGAATTTCATTAGTCAATTCCAAATAATAGAGAACATGGAATGAATCAAAGTGATGTTATAGAAAATCATTCTGGACCTTTTAAAACTTATGACGATGATGATGATGATGATATCTCCGATGATATGGAATTGGAGACGAAATATATACTGAAGCACAGGTACAGATATTCGACAGTGATGGGAGATGTATGTAATTCAATTATGGAGATGAAGTTCTCTAGCCGTCACAATAACATCAAGATCAACAGCAAACAGAAAACTAATTGCCTAAAATGGAAGATAAGTACCTACATATAGAAATTGTGCAAGGAGGAAAACTATTACTGGTTTATGTGAACAAAAGTGTTTCAAACTCTATAATCCATAAATGTGTTTCTTGTTGTTGTTGTTGTTGTTGTTGTTAAGCTTTATTTGGTTATTGTATCTCGTGAAGATAAAGGAAAATCAGTATCTTCTTCCATAATTATGTGTTTTATTTGGAAATTATTTATTTGTTGAGGTGCATATTCCAGAATCTAATTTTTCCCTAATGAAAAAACTCGAATTATTGCATGAACTTTTATTGTTTACATCAATGAATAAACCAGTACCTACCTTGAATAATACCCTTATATAATTATATATATAACCATTTTCTAAAGCACAATAAGAATCATATTATATAAATGTTGGCTGCAAAATGATTCGATGTTTAAAATGACTTCAGATCAAGAAATTTTACGTTGATTTTACGTTTAATATCGCCATCTATTAGTTCGTGATTTTCGCGGGGTGTTTATACCCTATTTCCATTTTTCATCTACGGCTATGATTGATTTGACAGAAAATCTAACCTCTAAAATCGTATCTGACAATCAGGCGCTACTAGAGAAAATGAAGAGACGTAGAGCAGCATAATATATACATAATATGTCTTATTCAGGATTAACAGAAGATGGTGTAGAAACTGCTATCAAATCCCATCTACTGTTTTTCGGTCAATGTTCTTGACAGAAGGATTCTTTTCTATATCGCGGAATATATAGGTCGCATTTTACCCGTTAGATGGCCAAATCTCAACCAAAATTCAAGGTTGGTGGAACTGATGATAATTAAAATTCCGCGAAATTACAGTTTCGTACTTTCAAATTTAATCTTATTCGGTTTGAAGTTATCTCATGAATGTTATGATATTATCATTTCTGCTGCAAGCGGTGTGTAGGCACTGTTTCCTGTTTTCTGTCATGAAAGCAATCTGTAAAAAGTGTTGCCATCTTGCGGACAACTGAGAACTAATATGCCATTATTGCGGAATCTGCGGCCAAGCGTTTTGGGAGAAACTAAACACTGTCTGTAATAACACCATATTCTACCCACCTTGCACTCAAACCATTGTAACATAGAAAATAGAAAACGACAGAAGTTCAGCTTAGTCCGAACAAACGTTTAGAAGAAACAGATGATGCGTTATATTTTTTCCTCAGAAACATATAGAAAAATATTCCTTCCAAACGAAAATTGAAATGTTTGAGCGAGTGTTTGAGAAATTGCACAGCTTTGATTATCATCCTCTTCATCCCGAAGAGATGCGAAAATTATTTCCATAGATTCGATAGTAATGAAAGGAGCAATCTGACACTGAAAAGGAATTTAAAATAAGTTATTGAGGCGGTCGAAAATTCTGAGGAATCAAAAATCGATCGAAAAATTTCGATTTTATTCCGAGTATTGAGCAGTTTTGTTGCATAGTTGCTTATTCCATCTTTCACATCACAACTGAAACAAACTGAAAGCAATATGAACAAATCCTCGATCAATATCTCTATATTCTACCGAGAATTAGTTTTCCGAGTTGGATTTTGTGCTTATGAAAACAGATTGCGACAAATCAAAAGCAAACAACAAATTTAATGAAATGTTTTCAATCTGATGAGAACGTTCGTTAGCCATATTTGTATTTCTATATTGAAGTCAGTTTTACTTTTTTGTTCGATAGGTACATCTTTCATACTTTTTCGCACAATATATGCCTACAGGCTTTCTCGCAATTGAACAAACATCAGAGCAATTTCTATTAATGATTCTGCGTTCAAAAAGTCTTCTACAAATTAATTTGTATTTCAAATAGACATTTGAAGACAAAGCTAATGCAGAACAATATATATTTACATACATTTATTATTCTTATTTCAGAGTTGTAGTGACAGAAATTCTCTGTATGTAAAGTTTTTCAACAGTGAGTTAGATTTTCATTAAATATTCTAGCTCGAAAACACTTTTGTTGATTTCACTGACTTTTTTCTGCAACCGACACAAAATAAGTCGTCCATTTTGATACCAAAATTAGCTCTTGAATTGACGTTTCTATTACTGACACAAAAATAGGTATGTTGCTAGGCAACATATTTAGTTCCTAGGTTGAACTTTAGATCTTAGGAGCTAAAGTTGTACTTTAGCTCCTAGGAACTAAAAAGGATGTACTAGATGTCATCAAGAATGAACAACATTTTTACAGTTGGTCATTTGGGTTGGGACGACGCGCATACCTGATTTGTTTCCGATTTCGGCAGATTCAGCATTTCATACCCAGCATGCTAGAGATATAAATACACCTCATTATATTTAAGTATAGGAATTATAAACATCTCAGTAAAGTATTTTTGTTTTGATCAGGGAGGCCTTCAAGATTCACATACTCGCTTTATCGTTTTATTAACGTCCATAAATCTTCAGATTTGAAATGATTTCAAATAGATATTCAGAACAATTCTTCATTCATCCATGAATACTTAAAATGGCCGTTTAAATGACATCTAATGGAAGTTCAATGCGCTCACCTTCTTTTGATATAGGTACTATATAGTTACGCTACTGTCGAAATAATATTTTTGGTAGTTGATATTCTTACATTGCTTTTTTAACCTGTTGACCTCTCGAAATTCAAAATGAGAATCGCCTGCGGCACACATTTCTTGACGTGGAGTTGGTCCGCTTAGAGAAATGCGGCCCGATCCGTTTTCTAACTCCAGTACGGCCCTGCCTATAACCCACCCCGCACAGCACATACAGTTTCTCAGATATAGTTTTCAGTTCCCCATTCCCATGCTTACTCCCCAAAAAATGCGCTAATATACAGAGCATTCCATATAAAAAAATGATCCTGACCCTCTAGATTTTTTCCGGTGCCCCCTGTATGTGCGGCAATACTTTCTAGTTATGAACCTTGTTGTCTCATTCACATTCGTTTTTGAATCGAGTTTCTAGCTATCATAGAACTCGAGCAATCGAGCTCCGATGCACTAATGTTCCACCCTGTATATAGTTATTTCTATAATACAATCGTTGCATCATACCTACATTTACGAAAAGTTTTTTTCTACTCATATAACTGAAATGGCATTTCGCGTACGGATCTGTACCACGCTAAATGATCGATTAATCACAGATTGACGATCTGTGATTTATTCAAAAAATTGAACACGTTACCATAATCAACATAATTTCTTAAACACATTACCATGGCAACAGTTTTTTAAACACACCTTCAGTCTATTGAGTCCTGCCCGGCCTGTCAATTGTAGGAACTTTCAACTGTCATTTTCCGATTTTGGTGCAATTTGCAATCGGTGGCAATCAAAATTATTCAAACAATTTCTGTTTGTATCAGAATTCTTCATTAAAAATGTATGCGAAATGTAGACGGAAGTGAAATCGAAGATAATGTTTTAGGTACTTGCATATTTCTAAGATCTCCGTATAAGAATGAAGCTCTTATCTTAGTGGGCAATTCGTTTTATGCTAAGCATGACAATATATAAATGTAAGAACATTTATGTAAGCAAAAATTATGCAATCAAAATATGGATACAAACCTGAGAAATCGAAAATTTTGATACCTCAGCGAATCGAAGGGTTTTCATCTTCTATGCCAGATAAAAACTTCTCATTCACAAAGAAGTTAGTAAAATTCATGGTCTGGACACATCCACAACCAAAATCACTTATACGTGCCTCCGTATTATGTTCTCAATTCCCAATTGTGAGTTCGTAGAGAAAGTATAGTATGTAACGCGTTTATAAACTCTTCTAGACACTCGTTTATTAAACTCTTTACTAGAGGAACGTTTAAAACATGAGAATAATATTGGAATACCTGAAATAAAAAGAGTTCTGGATTTATTTTTTCATCTCCTAAAATAAGCGAGATGATATCACCGATGACTTGGGGCAACCTATATTCATTCTGGTGAATCCCCACAAAAAAAACGAAATGTTCATTACAAGTAACATAATTTATTTACATTAATCACAAATCCAATAAATACTTTAAAAATTTCTACTAAGAGGATGCTTGAGAAAATACTCTTTAAATTTGAACACCCTTTTCGAGATCGCTCTAAAATTTACATCGTTCGTTTTATATTCCCCCACATAGATACTCATCACATTGGCTTTAACCCTTTCCATCGCGTAATTACAAAAACTGTTTGCTATCAACATTTCGTAGTCGCCATGTTGCAGCCCTATACAGTACGATCTAGAAGCCCTGCCTAAAAAAAAATATAACCACTAATTTCCGAGGTCAGCAAAAATAAATTCCATTTTTCCAGATCACAGCCCAGCACAACAACCAACACTTTCAATCCACTATTTTAATCGGCGGAATACATTTTCTTTCACAAATGTTCACTGAGTACTGTCGCTGGGATCTGAATAAATGATGGGCATGTGAGTTCTGATAACGAAATCATATACAGTGTGTCCACCTCCACCTTTAGGACTTACCACCCCTGAAAAATTGTTATTATCTGTCCGATTTCAAAAAACTTTTTTCTGCAACCGACACAAAAGTCGCCCATTTTGATACCAAAATTAGCTCTTAAATTGACGTTTCTATTACTGACACAAAAATAGGTATGTTGCTAGGCAACATATTTAGTTCCTAGGAGCTAAAGTTGAATTTTAGTTCCTAGGAGCTAAAGTTGAACTTTAGCTCCTAGGAACTAAAAAGGATCTACTGGACGTCATCAAGAATAAACAGCATTGTGACGGTTGGTTATTTGGGTTGAGACGCATACCTGATTTGTTTCCGATTTCAGCAGATTTGGCATTTCATACCCATGCTGGAGATATAAATACACCTTATTATAGTTCAGTATTGGAACTATAAACATCTCAGTTAAGTATTTTTGTTTTGATCAGGGAAGCCTTCAAGATTCAAATACTTGCTTGATCTGTATTTCATTCGTTATTCTCGGGATAGATAAATTGTTTTTGAATAATCACGGCAAGCAATAGTTTTTTGTCTCAAACAACGATATTGTTTAGCTTCATTTGATTATCAAGTCAAACACAGTGTAGTATGGAGAGGAATAAATAATCACCGATAATCACTATTATCATTGTTGATATGCTCACTAACCTAACATTTTCCACGTCTTGTTCCTATAGCTGGCACTCGCGCGGTATTTGTCATAAGAGCACCTGGTCCATACACAAATATGTCACTCTGTGGTTGTATTTTATATTGAAACTACAAGTCGAACATCCTAGAAAACCTAACCTGCTGTTAATGCAGGTAGAATATTCTCACACATGGATTATTTGTCAATATTTGTTGCATTGCATACATATCGCACGGCATTGGTGGTTACTTCACATGTTTATTTGAGTTAATTGTTTCGGTTTCAGAAAAAATAGCATGTTTCATTCGGATCAAAAGTGACTTTGTTCGACTCGCAAATTTTGCTTCCACTCGGCTTCGCTAAACGCTCCGCCTCGCAAATGCAAAATTCGCTTGTCAAACAAAGTGTCACTTTTGATCCTAATAAAACAATCTACTATTTGTTGGATAGGTATTTGAAATGTCCATCCAACAAGAGAGTGATTTTACTCATGAACTGTAATCGAGGCCAACTGCGACCAACTTTATTGACCCATATTTGAGGAAGTACTATTAGGGATTTTTTTCACAAAAAACAATGATGGATTCTGAATCACGATCACTAGAAAAACACCTTTACTGATTTTTATCATCATAACACACAGGGTGTCCGAAAAAACGAATTATGTTTTTTTTTAATAGGTGACCAGAAAATGTAGCATTGTGGTATTTTTGAGAAGAATTGATGACACATTATTATTGAGGATCACTTTGAACATATCTGTACCGATTTTCATCATTCAAAAATACGATGTGTATGAGAAAACAATTAAAAAGAAAAAGTAGGCAATATTATTTCATCAACTCAAAAAAAATATTAATTTGATTTTTCGAACACCCTGTGTTTAATGATGATGAAAATCGGTACAGGTATGTTCCAAGTGATCCTGATTCATCTTTTTATTTTGAGTGAAGAATTATCAGGATGAAAAATATTGCTTACCTATCCTTTTTAATTTTTTTCTCAGACACATTGTATATTCAAATGACGAAAATTGGTACAGGTATATTTGAAATAATCCTCAATGATAATTTGTGATTATTTCTTTCTAGAAATACCACAGAACTACATTTGCTGATCACCTATTTGAAGAAAATGATGATTTCGTTTTTTCGGACACCCTGTGTTTTATGATGATGAAAATCGGTGCAGGTATATTTCAAGTGGTACTGATTCAGAATCCATCATCAAGTTTCGTGGAAAAAATCCCTTAAAGTACTTTCTGGAATATGGGTCATTGAAATTTGTCGCAGTTGGCCACGACAACAGTCCGAGAATTAGATCACTCTCTCGTTGGATGGGCATTTCAAATACCTATCCAACAAAAAAAGGTTTTTTGAAATTGGTCGGATAATAACGATTTTACAGGGGTGGTAAGTCCTTAAGGTGGGGTGGACACACTGTATATGTGTCCCAAAGGCATGTGAAGACATTGTGTTTCATCGTACGACATCTCTGCCGATCACTATCCTGAGCGAAATGATTGAAAAATGGAACTTTCATGTGCGATAATTTGCACGTAACTACTTGTAGTGCGAACAGCACATGAGTTTTACACTGGTCCATCGGATATTATCTTTCGAAAGGGGAGCAATATTGATTCTGTGTCACTAACTTAGCTCAGTTTGAATTGCGGCACGATTGGATATTCACAAAGGAGACATTATCCCCTCCTAATTGCTCTTTGTTTCAATTCGTTACCACATAACGGAAGTTTGTCTGGAATAATAACAGTAAATAAATCGCTGGGCTGTGGTTTTGACTCAAATTAAGGGGTGGCACAGAGTGTTTTGTATTCAATTGGTATCGGATGGCATAATAGGCGAGTGAACTATTTTTTTCATCTCTTTAATAGAATAATCACTCAAATGCCTATCGATCTTGTTTTTTTTTTTTAGAATTTTTTGGACGATTATTAGGTGCTGAAATCATCAATAATGCGACGGTAATTTTCAAACGGCTAGAAATTTATCGCCAGTAAAATCTGACGTCACAATTTCGTGAGTAGGAGCAGACCATAGCAATATGCTTGGGAACTTCAGAAATATTAGTTATTCAATAATTCATAAATTCTGAATTATGTATTGGTAATATTCCTAATCAGCAATAAAAAATCAATTATCTCAGAATGTTCCCTTATGATTTGTAGCTTATTGCTTATAATAAATATGTGTAAATAATAACTATATTGATCAGTGGCGGCTCGTCAGAGGAGCCAACGGAGGATGAGCCTCCTCAGAGATTTTCCTCAAACTGATATTATCTATACTTTCTCATTAAAAAGACACCAAAATACATGATTGTGATTTTATTTCCTAATTTTAGGTAAATATTTTTGAATTGGCAACAGTGCCTGCCCACGCATCACACGTTGAAGTCTACAAATCAGGCGTAAAATAGTCAACTTGGCAACATCTATAGGAGGCTAGACTCCTTCACAATTCGCAACCCACGCGCGCAATGCAAATGCCCGAATACACCCGAATAGCACGTGTTGGTCGTGTCGCGTCGCGAATTGCGGACAATCGAGCTCGAGTGCATTGTTCATGTTTATGTTAGGTTAATGGTTAGGGGCTCTATAAATTTCTGAAAAATGAGTGTTTTAAACGATTGCGATTTAGTGGAATACTTTTTGAACCCATTCAGTGCCTTGTTTTATGAAGATAAATTGATATTGTGAAAAACAAACGTCCGACACCGGAATTAAAAAATTTGATTATAACAGTTAACAAACAAAATCGTTCGTTCAATTCTGATTATTTAAAAAAATATATCTGGTTGACGGGATCTGAGGTAAGAAATAAGCTATTTTGTTGGTACTGCATATTATTTTCAACCTATAAGTCATCATGTTGGGGGCGATTAGGATATAATGATTTGAAAATTTTGCCTCCCGGATTGGATAGACACTGCAAATCACAGGAACAAATCTCTTCAAGTATTAAGTTCAGGTTAACTGGTAAACAGAATGTCATTAAAGCTATCGATTTGGGTGAGTAGAGAGTTGTTTTTCACAATAAATCTCATATCATTCAGCCTCCTCTGTCATGAAAGTCACGAGCCGCCACTGATATTGATTCACACCAGAGGACATTTGAAGCGATGAACGTGACAACACGGCGCAATAATTGTGGGCGTGGTCTTGCCAGTTCTCAGCATTCAGCACAATGTTGCCAAGTCTCGAACATTTACATGATATTTTGATATGGAGTATACGAAATATTTGGACATACTGGTTGCTCTAAAAATTCGAGAATGTACTATAATATCATGGGTTTCTCCTGTTATCTATTATTCAACAACAGGACTCATAACAACTTTTTGTTAACTTGATTATGAATGGTGACTTGACAACCTTGCTTCGTGAGTGGAGATGGAAGATTATTTGACCAAATACGAAACAGCATGAAAACTGACCAAATGGCGGCCATGACGGTGAGAAATTAAATGCAAATTACCGCACAGGAAAGTGCAATTTTTCAATAACTTTGCTCAGGATAGTGATATATATTATTTCGTTATCAGATGACGATCCAAATTTGCACTAATGGACTAATACAGTGTGACCCACTTCTAATGGAAACACCCTTGTATCTCACGTAATCGTTAGATAAGGATCCTGAAATTTGTTGGAGCGAGAGATATACCAAAAATGCACTCTATGACCAAGTGGAGGTCATCTTCAGTGTTATACACTGCTCGATAACAGCCATGGAACCACCCCAATTTCCGGAAAATGATAAAAGGAGTCAAAATAGGTCGAAAATCACTTCAGATTCGGAATCAGGACGCCCAATTCACTAACTATTCATATTTTTCCTGGAAAATATTCAGTTCTGAAATTATAAATTTTGTAGAACTTTTTACGGCAGCACCCCCGTATCTTGCGTAATTGACTTCATCTTTGGACTTTCCCTTCCTCCTGCAAATTTCAGAACCCCTTCCTCAATAATTACGTGAGATACGGGGGTGCTTCCATGAGAAATGAGACAAAATTTAATTTTTCTGAACTGAAAATTTTCTAGGAAAACTATGAATAGTTAGTGAATTGGTGGTCCTGATTCCGAATCCGAAGTGATTTTCGACCTATTTTGACTCCTAATATCATTTTCCAGGAATTGGGGTGGTTCCATGGCTGTTGGCGAGCAGTGTATATCACTGAAGATGACCCCCCTTGGTCATAGAGCGCATTTTTGGTTATATCTCTCGCTCCAGCCAATTTCAGGATCCTTACCCAACGATTACATAAAATACAGGGGTGTCTCCATTAGAAGTGGGTCACACTGTAGATGCGCTATAAGAGATGAAAAAATACTGAAGGAGACACTTCGAAACCTGAATTTCGTCGGAAACATTATGGCCACCTTGTACACTCACCGAGACAAGCTGTCATCGCATAAATGTCTATCATGACAGCTGCCAATCTTCTCAGATCCATGTGTTGATTCACTATTTCTGGTCCGTGTCTCGCAAGGAGAATTTCAGTGGCAAATTCAAGTCTTTTCACACAATATCTGAAAAACTAGCACGATAATGTCATTGGAAAAAAAAAATCGAAAACATTACCCTGATGAACTTTTCATCGAATATTTCCGACAGTGGATTCAGAATAATAGTTATTTATGTACCAAGGACGAAAAACTGCCTATTATAGTCGAGTCTGCGAATTGACAGCCGAGGCTAGCAATAAGGCGAGACAATAGACAATTTTTACATCACGGTCCTATTCACACGTGAAATCTATCGGATTTCGCGAATAATCAATTTGGCAACAGCAAATCGAGGGCCAAACCGCAGTACCTCGTAAGTTGTGACATTTTTATGAAAATCACGTTTTTCATTTAAAGTGCTTCAGAACATCTACCTCCATCTTTCGGGTGAGTTAGGCTGCAGTTGGTAACAAAACCATGTTTTCTGTCCATCACGACGAAATCATCAAATTTGTATACGGCCTAAATGTATGTACGATATTTGTGTTCGTCCCATCACTTTTCGTTTACCCTCGTATTTTGGAGTCCCCGCGTTTAGTTTTTATATACACGGTGTTTTTGTGGTCGAAGCGCTAAACGCCAGCATGCCCAAGGCTGTTGTTTATTCCTAACACCTAGTGAACTTTCAACTCTGTGCCGATTGGATTTATAACAATTGTCTGGTGGTATACCACACCGCGTACAAATGAATGAATTACGGGTTGCCTAAATGGTTTCAAAATTCCCTATATGGGAGAGACTGTAATTATAGGTATCTCGCGCACCTCGTCTAGATCACAAAAAAGTGTGACCAAAAGTAGTTTTCAAGTTCTCGAAGTTTCGAAACGCAGAAATCATTCGCTATCAGTGAACCTCCATCATTGTGTGGTCCATTAACTATTTATTTCGGATTCATATATTGAGTGCTTTTGGTCAGAAAGTGCAAATACTAGGTTTCCTGATATTTGGATATTGTGCCTGTATTCATTATAGATGAGTTTTGTGATTTTTGTACAGCCTCATAAACTAGTATTAGGATTTGCACGTGATTTCGGCAAAGGCGTAGTCCTAACATAGGTATTCATTATAGATTCCAGATAAATTTCACCACGGTCAACCCTGTATATTCCACCAACGCATCACCTGTAATAAAATACTCTTAAACCGGAACCCCGTAGCAGGACTTTCATTTCAACCCCTGAGATCAACCCCGTATCGTAACAAGTTTTTCGCGTGGTTTCTGCAGAAATATAAAAAAAAACATTACCTCGTATGTTTTTTAACTTGAGATTCTGAAGCAGTACCTCGTAATTCGCTATTCGTCAATGGCGCCGTAACGTGTAGTTCTCAAACTGAATTTCTGTTCTAAAGGTAGGAAGATTTCCTAATGCTTCATTCTTGTTTTCATCAGTTTGAGTATTTATTATGATATTTTCGAAATAATGTTCCTGTATGGAAAGATTATCCGTGAATGATTATATGATTTCTCATTTCCAGTTTTTACATACGAGGTCCTGCATGTTGAAATAATAATTAATCTATAAGCGGTAGTTACGCGTATCTGCTCAAAGTAAATAATATTTATCTTCGAAATGGCATCTGAACGAACGAAAAAAAAAAGTTAGTTGCACAACAATGCAACCTAGATGACTTATTCTCGGACGGATATGTTTCATCCCATGTTTTGACATCCAGCTCTTTTTACGAGAAAACAGTACCTCGTAAAAACAATCGAGAAATAGAAAGTACCTCGTGAATAACACATTTTTTTTTTGGAAATTTTGATTATGCTTTTGATTTCAACATATTTGGAGAAAGTATATTCCCAAGAAATATCATTCAGAAAGTTGATCGAATGATTATACTTTGCCCCAATTGATGTGACAGTTTTTTGCCGCTCCTGTGAAATTTGCATTTTGTCACTTAAGAGGTACTGCAGTTTGACCCTCGAAATGACAGTTGTTGTCAACTCACTCTCCGCGCGGACCAGGGTTGCCAGTTCGATTTTTATTTCATCAGTAAATACCTTGTCAAAAATTCAGTAGATTTCAATGGATCAGTTCAAGATTTATTTCATGCTTTATGAATTCCAAGAAAGGATACAGAAATAAACAGAAAAGTAAGCTATTTCCAACAAAACAGAAACGAACGACATTCTCATACACAAATAATCATAATCCTAATGATCCCCAAAAAAGGGAACAAGAACCTGCCCAACAACTACAGGCCCATTGCCCTGTTATCAGTAATCTCCAAAGTGATGGAGAAAGCCATCAATATTGAGCTTATCAAATATCTGGAGAGCTCAGGAATCATCAATGATAGACAATACGGCTTTCGCCACCGAAGATCTACTGGAGATCTACTTGCCTACGTCACCCATTTATGGCAATCTTCAATAGAAAAACACGGGAAATCTCTAGCTGTCGCGTTGGACATATCGAAAGCATTCGACCGTGTTTGGCACGAAGGACTCCTCCACAAACTACCATCATACGGCTTACCACCTCAGCTATGCCATCTCTTATCGAGTTTTCTTTCAGGCAGATCGCTTCACGTGGTGGTGGACGGTGTATCGTCTGATACCATTGGCATCAATTCCGGCGTTCCACAAGGATCAATTTTGGCACCAACATTATTCCTGCTTCATATCAATGATCTGTTGGGAGTAACAACTTGCCCCATCCACAGCTTTGCAGATGATAGTACCCTCCATACTGCTTTCTCTTCCAGAATTCCCATTTCTTCCCAGGAAACTAAGACCTCACGGCGCAGGCAGGTCAATGCTGTCAATGAAGATCTTGCTGAAATCACAGCCTGGGGAACAAACAACCTAGTTGAATTCAACGCCACCAAAACTCAAGCCTGCATTTTCTCTAGAAAGGCGGAACTCAGTATGCCCGATATTGTAATGTCTGGCTCCACCATCCCCACCAAGCCCACCATATCTATGCTCGGTATTTCCATCAGCAACACTCTTTCATGGGATAATCATGTCAGATCCATCGCAAAAGCTGCTTCCCAAAAACTCGGATTCTTGTTCCGTGCGAAAAGCTACTTTACACCTCAACAGCTTCTCATGATCTACAAAGCGCAGATACGACCTGTTCTAGAATACTGTTCCCACATATGGGGTTCAGCACCAAAACATACGCTGATGCTCTTAGATTCCATCCAGAGAAGAGCCATTCGCCTGGTGGGTGACGCCACACTCACTCACTCTTTGACATCTTTAGAACACCGTAGAAAGGTCGGCGACCTTTCACTTTTCTATCGATACTTCCACGGGAAATGTTCTTCGGAAATCTCTGCTATCATCCCTTCACTAGCAATACCAATCAGACGAACTAGACAAGCCCAGTCAGCACATCCTTTCGTTGTCAACCTCGAAAGATGTCGAACAGCACTTTATCAAGACTCCTTCATCCATAGAACAGCTAGGCTCTGGAATTCATTGCCTGTGGAAGTATTCCCAACAACATATAATCTCCAGAAGTTCAAAAAAAATTCCAATACCTACCTCCTGTCCCTATCCTCCCTAGGAACGCACGATGTTCTTTGAACATTATAGGGATTCCCTCTCGTGCGCTCCAAGCGATAAAAAAAAAAAAAAAAAAAAATTCAAAAATACTCACAAATATCACAAAATACAGTTTTTTTATGTTTTGGTTCCCACGAAAAGGGATATCCTGTAATGTTGAGAGAAACTTCTGAGAACCAAGGGAAATAAGGTAGGAATTGGTGTTCTTCTTAAATTTTTGGAGGTTATATGCCTCGGGAAATACCTCCCTTGGCAATGTGTTCCAGAGCCTCGCCGTTCGTTGGATGAACGAGTCTTTGGACAGAGATGTTCTGCAGCTCTCCAAAGTGACCACGGAGGGGTGCGAAGCCTCAACTCGACGCGCTAATTTCGCGGGAAAAGAAGAAGAAAATATCTATAAAGTAATGCCAGGTCGACAAATTTTCTACGGTGTTCCAGAGAAGTGAGTGAGTTTGTGATCGAGGCATCACCCACGAGACGAATTGCCCTTTTTTGGACAGAATCCAACAGTTTCAGGGTACGTTTGGATGTTGCACTCCGAATATGGGAACAGAGTGTTCCAGGACAGGTCGGATCTGTGCCTTATAGATCATAAGCAGCTGACTGGAAGTGAAATAGCTCCTGGCCCGAAACAGAAAACCAAGTTTTTGGGATGCACTTTCAGCAATTGATCTCACGTGATTTTCCCAAGAGAGGTTATTGCTGATAAATATTACCAATCATCGAAATGGATGTCTTCAAAGGTATGGTTACTCCTGACAAGCATATGTTGGTCACAGTGAGATCGGCTGTTCTAGAGAAAAGGAATGCTTGTGTTTTGTTTGCATTGAAATCTACCAAGTTATTGGATCCCCATTCGAGAATTGTTGCCAAGTCCATATTCATGTTATCAACATTTCTCCCTCGTTCGTTTCTGATTTGCCTGGCTGGTATTGGAGCCATGGAAGAGAAGGCGGTATGAAGGGTTCTATCATCCGCGAAGCTGTGTACTGGACATGAAGTTGCTTCCAACAAATCGTTGATATGGAGTAAAAATAGTGTGGGTGCGAGAATTGATCCTTGCGGAACACCAGCATTTATGATAAGAGAGTCAGATGAAACTCCGTCGACCACTACATGGAGAGACCTGTTTGAGAGAAAACTAGCTGACAGAGAACATAACTGGGGAGGCAAGCCATAAGATGGAAGCTAGGCGAGGAGTCCGTGGTGATAGACTCGATCGAATTCCTTGGAGATATCAAGTGCCACAGCTAAGGTTTCACCATATTTTTCGATAGATTGCTGCCATATATGTGAGACGTGCTTATACATAACATAAGTGCCTATATGTACATTTATAGCTTATTTTGTAAAATTAATTCAAACAGAGCGTGCCAAAATATTATGCAATTTATAACTGTATGTGATTGATAATATACCGGGTGACACAGGAGATATGTAGCAGCCTGTAGTTTTTTTATTTGAAGAGATAAAATGTTGAAATTCACAGGGGGTATATAATGAATAGTAGCGCACTTTACGAATTTAACGACAATTATTTTCAACCACCTGTTTGACCGGAAATCAATAGAGACGGAAAATGTATTCAAGAAACGAAAAAGTCGATATGTTGTTAAAATGCAATTTTAATCAACACACAAATGAAGAAGAAAAACTATTGATGCAATCGATAACTGTCAAACACATAAAACATTTTGTGTAGGTACACCGCCTACCAAGTGAAATAATTATGAAAAAATAGACTGATAGCCCTGTGGATCATCGTATAAGAGGAACAATTTTAGTTTTATTATTCCAAATGGAAAGATCATGTGATAGGTACATGGCGAAAATAAAAGACAGATAGTTTCTGTACGAGTAGCTGAATTCGAAAAAATATGTTCCTATCTTAGATTCCTCAATATCATGAGTTATTTTCGAAGGTTTTCATCTTGACTCAAACAAGCTATTGACAACCTGCAGACATTGATCAGAATATCAAAACATTTTGAATAATATCGGTTTACTAATGATCTTTAAATTTCAAAGCCTACCAACTGTCGATTTATCATCGAATTCATGTCACAGCCAACTTTTTCTTTTTGAATAAAAAGCAATTCAACAGCGAATTAAGAAATAAATGCCACTTTGTGATACATGGTTGGATAGAGAATTTCAAGGCGAAAAAGATAGACTGTACAGGGTGACATTTAAAAGAAAAAGTTGGGGTCACTTTCGGTCAAACGGGTGGTTGAAAAAAATGGTCGTTAAATTCGTAAAGTGTCACCCGGTAATCGGTATAGGTAATTATAATAATAAATAAGTGTCAAAATATTTTCAGTAGATTGTGCAATGTTTCAGTAGATAAGTAGATCGATATTCAAATCAGAAGGCAACCCTGCAGCGGACGAAAAGTGTTTGCGACGAAAAGTTAGTGTCTGCGAACGAAAAGTTCTTGCCTCCGGAAATAGTCGGTTTTTCGTTCGGAAATCAGAACGTAAAATGCGATTTTTTGAAGAGGTCGACGAAAAAAAAAATTAATACTGTTTCATACTCACTCCAAATGTTTTGAGGCGATTAATGAGGAAGGATGCAAATATTCCCGCAATTCCAAGTCTAGTTTTGGATTGTCCTCAACATTTCGCCTCGTGGTCCACATTCTTCTGAGGGCCAATCCCGAATGAAATAGGGGATTCCGAATTCTGTCAATATATTCATTGAGTTCCACCTACAACCAATTATTTGAATCGACCACACTATCATCAATGGGCGTGTACACCTTAGTAGAACTTTTAACTCAAACCATGTTTATAATGATCCTTTTATACATAAATGATGATTGACGACATAATTCGATCGAAAAATTAACTGGAATGTTTTATTTTTGGACATAAATGATAGTACCTCCTGAAAACGGACCTTCTCATGACGTAGAAACCTCATCTCGCCATAGTTGAAAGAAAATACCAAACGCCCGACGGAGACTGAGGCAACTGAAATATTAATTCTTTCAACTGTGATCTCGCGCTAATTCAGTCTGTCAGAAATCATGTATCATTCATCTCTGTCTGGAATAGTCTTGTTTCAGTATTAGGGTTTCGACGTCACATCATCGCCTCGTTTTCAGAGGTCCGAAAAATCGGGGAATTCAATAATTTTTTATAAAACGTAGGGAGCTCACAGCAAGAAACGGTTTGCGGTGGTGAGCTAGTTTGGGTGAGTTCTATCGAATTATGAAATGAAAATGAAAAGCAAAGTATTTCTTCATTTTTGACTTCTGCTATAAACGTTGAAATATTTAATTTTTGCCATTAATTTTGTGGAGTTCCTCGAGGATCAGTACTAGGTCGACTTCTTCTTTGTTCTTTTATAAATGGTATTTATTGATGGCAATATGTGTAGTGTAAGTGAGGTTTATTCACCTTGTTTACGGGTCATAGTCATAATAATAATAGTCTTCAGCATGATATGTGATACAATATACAGGGTGATTCACGGTGGATGGCACCTTAGACGTTTCTGGAGAACGCAACTCAGGATTATTCTAAAAAGTTGTGTTCTATCGACCTAAAATATTGAAAAATAGCAACAACTTTGATTTTTTCAATGGACACCCTGTATATCATTCCATTTTCAGATTTTCCCTGAAAAGCTGATTCCATCGATCTATCACACTGGGGGTCTAGAGGAAATGATAACAAATATGTGTGTGAAAAATCGAAATTTCATAATTGGTCAAAACGATTCGATTTTTCACACCCTATATCTTTGTTATCATTCCCGCTAGACCCCAAGTGTGATAGATCGATGGAATCAGCTCTTCAGGGAGAATCTGAAAATGGAATGATATACAGGGTGTTCCATTGAAAAAATCAAAGTTGTTGCTACTTTTCAATATAAGCGGCAACGTCGCAACGCTGAGAATATTTTAGGTCGATAGAACACAACTAATTATTCAAGGCACCAACTTTTCAGAATAATCCTGAGTTGCCTTCTCCAGAAACGTCTAATATGCCATCCACCGTGAATCACCCTGTATAGTAGAAGAAAACAAATTCAAAGCTTCAGTTGTTGCACGAATCAGATTCATATCATACATGCTTATAGGGTTAAAACTTCCAGGAAATAAAAATCATTAAGTTCGCAAAAAAAGAGGTACTGTGAAACTAACTTCGAGCACCCTCAACATTGGAATAACTTACCCCAGCATGCTGTAGCCCTAAAAGGGCAAGGATCATTTTCAAACTGTCATTTGTTTCGTTCAATAACGAGAGTTGCACGGCATCTCTATGGCAAATGTTGGCCCAATGTGAGTCTGACACAGATGGAGACCCTATCAAGCTTAAGCTTGTCATCGAAGCGTTCAAAACATTTTCAGATGCGAATATCTGGAAAACAATTTTCTTATATCTGATCACCGGAAAAGATCATAGTTTTTGGCTCACGAACCTTTACAATTGCACCCTCTACTTCCACATCTTGATTTTCATAAGAATCAATAAGCCCTGATGTTAGGTATGTAATGCTCTCCATTGCATAAAGGGATGTAACAATCTGAAAACCCGTGAAAAAAATATGGAATTCGAAAATTACAATTTCCTGCCAATACCTTGATTCTGATCCAATTATAATTTTTCAATAAAAATGGCGTAGGGACTTTTTTCTGATTTGTTTTTGACAAATATAATGAAATACATTTATGACCATGTCAGCATGAGCATATTATCCACACGTTTTAATGTTATTTCAATTGTAATTCAGAAACTATGCTGATACAGATATTATATAAAACAGATAGCCTTCGTGATAGTCGTGAATTCATAATCACTCTAAGATATACAAGGTCTCATATATACACATATACGGTCTCAACTATTCAGTTAGAATGTTGAAAAGGAATATTCTCAGATAAATTTATGAACACACAAAAATGGTGGGTGTGTATAATTTGCGGACTGGAATAAAATGTTGCGGACTGGCTATTTCCATCGAACTTTTCGATGTTTTTATTGCATATCTGTATTCAGCTCACCGATATACACGATGAGAAGTTTCATTTTTTTTCTATGACCCCCCTGGGGAGCACTTTACTCTTGTGTTTTTTCATAAAATCTTGCGGACTGGGAATTTTTGAGAGTCAAATCATCTCAATTTCACCATGAATCGATCTATCTCATGAAAATACACAATGAAAAAATTTTTGAATTATTTCCCCAGCCTCCCTGGGGAGCACTTTACTCGTGTGTTTTCTCATAAAATCTTGCGGACTGGGTATTTTTGGGGAGCACTTTCCTCGTGTGTTTTTTTCATAAAATCTTGCGGACTGGGTATTTTTGAGAGTCAAATCATCTCAATTTTACTATAAATCGATTTATCTCATGAAAATACACGATGAAAAGTTTCTGAATTTTTTCCCTAGCCCCCCTGGGGAGCACTTTACTCGTGTGTTTTTTCATAAAATATTGCGGACTGGGTATTTTTGAGGGTCAAATCATCTCAATTTTACTATAAATCGATTTATTTCATGAAAATACGGAGCAAGATGTATGGCGAGGAACCGATGATATAGATTAATGACCCTGTATTGAATAATGAGCCGATTATCTGCAAGCTATTTACCATCTCCTCGACCATCTCCTACAAGTCGGGTATATTTCCATCTTGCTAGAAAATAGCTATAGAGTCCAACCAATCCCCAAAAAAGGAAACAATGAAAGCCTGATGCCCAACAACTATACAGGGTGTATCTAAATAACACCGAACAAATTCAAGGGGTGATTCCTTGTGATATTCCAGCAAACTTGCTCCGTTTTTGAGATACAGGATGTTGAAGTTGGAAGTATTAATTGTTTTTATTTATAACCCCCCTGTATTAGCTTTCATGGTGCCAAAATTCAGTATGGTTGGAGACTGAGAAAGTCCCAAAATTTCCAAATGATTCTAATTGGGGAAGTAATCTCAATGGAAGTCTTGAAAACATGCCTACATTAAAATTTGGAGTCAAATCGAATTTTTTGTTTCCTCAAAAATCATGCTAGATACAAAAATTACACACAGGATAAAAAAGTTGTTATTTCAATAGTTCAATCTAATAAAAATATGAAACTCAGAAAAACCGTACAATGACATTTACCATGAATATCGACAAATTTACCCACTGTGACGTCACTGGAAATGAATCTAATTGCACCAGAAGAAGCCTCATAATAATATTAACAAAACCACAACGTTTTATTGAAATTGATGAAAAAACAACTGAGTAATAAATAAAAAAACGATGTTTCATGGAAATATTAATACCCTTAACTCAAAAACAAAGAAAGTTAGGACACATTTCGAAGTATTCAAATATTTAAAATTGAGTGTGCACACCATATTAAAAGAGTTGTTTGCCCTTAGGTGATGCCACACTCACTAACTCTTTGACCGCATTAGAACACCATAGAAAAGTCGGCGACCTTTCACTTCTCTATCTGCTATCCATCCATTAGCAATACCAGCCAGCAAAGCTGGACAGACCAAAAGACCCACACAGCATCTTTAACCTTGAAAAATGTCAAACAACACTCTACCAGAACTAGTTCATATATAGAACAGGAAAACTTTGGAATTCTTTGCCAATGGAAGTATTCCCAAGTACTTATAACCTCCAAAAGTTCCAAACAAAATTCAACTCCTACCTCCTCTCCCTAGGTATGTAACCTTGAAAATAACACATCGCCCCATCTGACATTAAACAGGCTACTTTGACAGCTATCAAGAACTCTGATAGATGGCATATTATTTTCTATGAATAAGGAAATTCTTTTGGTATGCCCCAAGATAAAAAAAAAATCATAGCCTGTTCATACTCTTCCATCAATATCCATGTAATGATGAAATAAACCTCCTATGATATGGGCCAGTAAAATGTCAAAGGTACTAAAATATACTGCTCAGCAGTGATCACAAATCAAGTAAACTCAAAATATTCTCATAACTACTGATTGTACAGAATAATATTTGAAACCATAAAGGTAATTTTTTACTTAGAGGGCATTGTCGAATTTTTTCAAAATTTTTGCCAGTACTTACGTATTTTGGGGTGTAGAATACGAATCTGAAAACCAAAAAGCTGGGAAACCAATACTTTTCGAGATATTTGCAAAACAAAATCTTTATCATCACTGTTTTGCTGTTGTTTGGCGGCTCATCACTGGCAATAGGTACTGGCATGTCTGGTGTATACGCACTCCGTGCATATGTTAATGGGAAATAAATTACCAAATTTAGGGTATTTTCTTTGAAAAATTAATGGATATTGCAAAAACTTAATACTGTTAGTTATTTTCCTAGCACCTATTCACAAAAAAATAACAACTATGACAGCTAACAGCACCAAAAAAATCAATGTCAATTGTTTGATCAACAAACAACAAAGAAAGATGATGGCAATGTTGCCATAGCTCGTCCGTTTAACGCTTATTTTCTTTCTAGACGATTCTCAGAAATAAACATGAAATAAATTAAGTTAAATTAATTTAAATTTAATTTCTATACATAGTTTTAGTGTGATTAAAAAAATTGAAAATTCTTTCATTGAATGGAATAGAAAACAATATAGGGAGGGTATTCCAACCATATTCTTTCCAATGTGTGTTTGAAAAATGAGATCTACTTAACCCGAACAAACTAACCTAACTATAGAGCTCGGATTACGATAGACGTTGCGGTTACGATAGACGCTGCGGTTACGATAAACGCTGCGGTTGCGATAAACGCTGCGGTTCCGATAGACGCTGCGGTTACGTTATCCGAGCTCTATAGTAACCGCGGTTCTATCGTAACCGCAACGTCTATCGTAATCCGAGCTCTATAGTTAGGTTAGTTTGTTCGGGTTAAGTAGATCTCATTTTTCAAACACACATTGGAAAGAATATGGTTGGAATACCCTCCCTATATTGTTTTCTATTCCTATTACGGGAAAAAACAAGATCTGGCAACATTGCTTGTTATTGTCTGTCAATTTATCATGTCTGTCAAGTGTCACGTTCACGTTTGATGCATCTTTTAATCATAAAAAAACACATACATAAAATTAACAAGGTAAATAGCAAATGAAATGCTTTCATTGTTAAAATACCCAAATAAAATGAATTGAGAAATACATAATTCATCAATCAACAACGAAAGAAAGAAGATAGAGAATTATACCGCTTGAGGAATGTTGCTAAAAGACGCTGAAAAATGATGAACAAAATGACTTATTTTGCAAATATCTCGAAAAGTATTGGTTTCCCAGCTTTTTGGTTTTCAGATTCGTATTCTACACCCCAAAATACGTAAGTACTGGCAAAAATTTTGAAAAAATTCGACAATGCCCTCTAAGTAAAAAATTACCACCACAAATATTAAATAATTTCCATTTTCAATTTGCTAGGCTGATGTTACCTCTCCAATTTTTTCTCTGACTGCATCCATTTTGTACAACTGATAAGCATCATCAGATCTATCCAGAATATCTTTAGTCAAATTATTCAGAATTTTCTTTGTCAAAGTTATACCTAATGAACCCAAGCTTACTCTGTATTCAGTTGTTAAGCTTGATAACATATCTTGGGCTTTGTGGACTTGACCAAGAATATTTTCTGAAAAAAGAAACAATTTAAATTCTTATAATCATAATGAAAGTTTTCAAAGTTAACAAAATGTTCAGGGAATATTATTGTTGTTAATTTCCAATATATCTTTATGTAACCAATTTGGGAACCCATAAATGAATTTGAATGCAATTAAGGAAATACCTACCTACTGGAATTTCAACATTTGTGAATGTTATATCAGCAGTTTCAATGCCAGTGGAATCATTTCTATGAATTGATATCCCAGGAGAGTTCCTTTCTACAACAAATGCAGAGAATTTGGGTTCTTTGATGATGTCCCTTACTATAGTTTTTGTTAAAGCTAAAACTATGAATATATCTGCAGAAGTTCCATTCACTACCCAAGTCTTTGTACCATTGAGAATCTAAAAATAGTGTAATATATCAGGCTATTTTTCTGATGACCCCAGAGTTGAATTTACCCATGTTTTGCTATCACTAGATAATTTGGCAGTAGTTTTGAACTGACTCAGGTCTATGGCTCCACATTCAGTGAAACACAAAGCAGATAGCAAATTCCCCTTCATTATTTCATGTAAATATTTGGTTTTCAGTTGATCACTTCCAAATTTCACAAAACTGTGTGCACCTAACTGTTCATTATTGAGAATGCTATATCTAATTTTATGTTCAGACAAAGCTTCTAAAAATGCTAAACTTTCTGTTACATTACACTCTCTTCCATTGATGAACTGAGATGCTTGAAGACCTATTGCTCTGTGATCAGATAAGTTTTGTCTGAATGTTTTGTCCAGTGAGTTGTAATCCACTACATGATTCTGATGAACCAGCTTTCGCACTAGTGATACATTTGCTTCCAAATCTTCCACATCTTCTTTTTCCAATTCAGGATAAGTCAAAATATCTGTATCAAATTTTCCTAACATCAAATTTTTAACAAAAGGAGGCTTCTGTGGTTTCTTTGTGCGTACTTTTTTAGTAATATTGTATAATGTTTCGAATTGTTTTAACTGGTTCTCCTCAGACTCTTTGACTGCTACTTGAGAACTACAATATGTGGCTGACAACTCATAAGATAACTTATTCTTCAGTAAAATAGTTCTGGTTACCACTCTTGAAATCGACATTGTTTAATGATTATGTTTCACGTTTTGGAGCAACAGCAAATATTATAAAAAACTCGATAGAAAATAACGTTCCTTAGAAAAATAATAACAAATGTCCATAACCTCAAAAGAAGAAAGTACGTAACCTCAAAAAACGGCTGGCATGTCAACTGACATCTTCTTGTTTTTCTTAGATTCCCTACTTCCCTTAGTTTGAAAAAGCACTAGGAATACAACCAATCCCACGAACATTGTGCAAAAAAGTAAGGAGAGGAACGTGAAATAATATGTTTTAGGCTTTCTAAATCGTCGTCCATTATCATTAGAACGATCAATTTCAACTTCATCTGACATTTTGTTATTTGAAAGATTCACAGGCCCTTTCTTTTGTACGAAAAGTGCAGCACATTCGTACACTTCTTGTGGTTTACACCTTATTTGAGCATTCTTTTGAAAAGTGCATTTCACACCAGTGTAGTTTATCTCATCCTGGTCTTGAGCAGGTGTGAATTACACTCGAATTAAATAATTGAAAAAATAACGATAAATGACTCGAAATACATATGTGATTATATTTTCATCAGATATAACACCTGTACTGGGAAATCAGTTAAATCAAATACCACATTTCAAAATTAACTCTGTTCACTTTTGCACTTTTTTCCTTCAATAAAATGATCTTCATTCGTTTGAAATTCGTTGGTGTAGCTGCACGAAATATAAGCTGATTCATAGTGTAGTGCATTTTACACACAAATGACGGCTAAATATCTAGACTGTCTGACGGGTTCCACAAGCCACTGACGGCTAAATATCTAGACTATCTAACCCGTCAGACAGTCTAGTTATTTAGCTTTCATATATCAATTCACTACACTCCATGTGTTGTGTTAGAAACTTAGACCATACAGAGTGTCTGGTGTCGGTACTGTCGGTGTCACAGACAGAATGAACAATGAACTGTTGTAAACAGCAAAACAGTTAAACAGTATAAATTTCATACCTAAAATGACTAAAAATGTATAGTAAACTCAAGAAAACTATTGTAAACATTTTGTAATAATATTGTGATTTCATTTCACGGGCAAAAATACAGGGAGGTGAGCTCTCAATTTGTTTCTGAAACAATTTACTGACCTATTCAAAAGTATTTTTTCTGAGGTAGCTCTTGCTGCCAAGTGCTAGTTGTTCTAGAGTTCACAATCAAGTGCTGTAGATGAAAATTACATCGAAGGAAAAAAATGAAGCTGAATCTAGGAAAAGGAAAAAATCTCTGAATAATGATGAATATTCTAATCATGAAAATGGGAGGAAAAAGAAGGTAGTAAAAAAACACACTCAAACTTCCTCATCATCATCATCATCCACATCATCCAGTAGTAGCAGCAGCAGCAGTGGTAGTAGCAGTACTAGTGATAGTAGTTCTGATTCTAGAGATCACAAAAGCTATTCAAAGAAAAAAGTCATCACAAGAAAAAAATACAAAAAAGATTCTTCCACTAGTTCATCAAGCACCAGCTCATCAGAAGATGAGAAAAAGTACAGCAAAAAGAAGCATAAAAAGAAAGAGAATATAAAGAAAAGGAAATTGTCCAAGGAACTATCTAGTTCATGTAGCTCAAAATTGAATAAAGAAAAGAAGTCTGTACTAAGAGTAAATGAAGAAAAACTAGAAGAGACTCTAGATATTCCATTGAATCTGATGGAAAAAAGTAGATTGATGGCACCAATGACTCAAGAAGAATGGAATGAAAAACAGTCAGTAGTTACAAGAGTATATCGTCGGCGATCTGACAATACCTGCTAAGTAACATTTTTTTCAAATATTGGTATTTCATGCAGTTATAGCTTTCAATATTCATTGCGCACAATCTGAAATGAACTGCTACCTCCAGATGAATCCTTTGTTTACTTCATTGAAGGAAAACAATATCTGCTATCGACTTGACCTGTTACTCGATTATGTTTTATTCATCTCCTGTAAAAAAACCTGCTCTGCACTATATTGCACTTAGCAGGTATTGTCAGTTCGCCGACGATATGATGAATCTACTGGTAGGCACAGGTAAATATATGACAGTACTCATCATGTATTATGCCATCATACAGGAGAACTTCATGATTCTATTCCTCTCAATTTGGTCTATTCAATTCAATTTCAGTAGGTGCCATTGAATGTTCTTACCAGTGATCCAGTAAACAGATTAATATCTTCTTTTGCCAGTCTCAACATTTTGACTGATTCCTATTTGGAACAGAACAAATAGAGTAACTCAATTCAAGCTCATTCATTGTATTGCAGGGTATACACCTTTTGTGTTTTTTTAACAATTTTGATCATTTTCATTATAATAATATCAATTTGTAATGTCACTTGCATCCCTATCATATTTTTTTGTCTCTATATATATACAGTGTGTCCCGATTTTCATAAATACACCCTAATAACTCAGTTATTAATGATGTGATTTTCTTGAAATTTTGGTGGTGATTATATGTTAGGTAAATGAAGTATTTTGGCATAGTGAACATTTTCATCGACCATAGGCGTGCGGTGTGGGGGGGTAAAAAAAAGCTGTTTTTTGGGAAAAGGATATTAGGGCTCATTTTAGATAACTTTTTTTATCAGAATTAGAATCAGCATTCCCAAAAACCCCCCAATCCATATTTTCAAAATCTCAAGAGCTGATTTGAGCAGAAAAAAAAATAAATTCACTTTTTTCGTCAATGCACCCGAATATCTGTTATTAGCGATTTTCTTGAGATTTTGGTGGTGATTTTATGTTAGAAAAATTAAGTATTTGGCATAGTGATCACATTCATTCACCATTGGCGTGCGAAGTTGGGGGGAGAAAAAAGGCATTTTTTGAGAAATGAATATTAATGCTTATTTTAGACAACTTTTCTCATCAGATTCGGAATCAGCATCCCCAAAAACCCCTCAATTCATATTTTCGAAATCTCAAGAGCTGATTTGATTAGAAAACAAAATTAAATTCACTTTTTTTCAATAGATTGTTTATTTCTAACTTTTTATTTCAAATGCCCTAATCCTATATTAAACTTCAAACACCTTCGTTTCCTTATATTCAGTATCGTTTGCAACTGCCCTTATACTACAATTTAGGTATTTCGGAAGATACGCGCACTTTGTTACCGTTGTCTTGCTGATTTGAGTTTTCAAGCAAATTAATGAAAGAGTGCTTTGAAACAAAAGTTTTTGTTTGACATCGGTAATCAGTACGAAATGTCAATAAGTCAAGCAGTGTTACTTAACTGTTAATAAGATGGCACACAACCGAAGAGTAGTTCTTACAATTGGAGAAAAAGTAGAGATTATCCGCTTATTTGGTAATAATGAAAGATCTACGCGTCAAGTTGCTGGAATATTCAATGGAAGGCATCATGATCGAGAACCAATTTCTCACGATACCGTTGCCAAAATCAACAGATGGTAAAAGTGCACTTATCATGCGATGGGGTTTTTTTCGAAAAATTTTTTTGGTACTTACGTATTTTCGTCTGAAATACACGAATTTCATAATGGAAATGTGAACAAACCACTATTTATCGAGATATTTCAAGAAAAAAATCGGAATTTTGCCTTCTTTTCCCCCTTGTGTTGGATGCATTTACAGGTACTTGCTCTTATTATTTTGTCATTGGACACTTTATATACTCATGATGTACTTCACTGACACATTTTAAGATAGAAAATTCAACAGGAAATATGATTTTTATGGCGAGTTTTTCCTATTTAGTGAGCAAGCATACCAGATGACGGCCATTTAATCCATATGCAATCCAAATACGAGATGTCAAATGCGAGGTCAAATGTCAATTAGGCAATCCAAACCACATGACATTTTAGCTGACAAGATGGCGTCTGGTTGGCAAACAAAGATTATACATCACTTGTAATTAAATTGTATTTTGCCCGAATCACCCTATTATTCTGGTAGTTTTATGTGTCAGGTGTTTGAGGGAGTCTCGGAGCTGAATTGAACAGTGCTTCAATATGCTGAGTTCATATTTCCAGAAGTTATTGCAGGAAAACCCAGAGGTTGGTCAGAGGTAAACATGAATATTTATTGTTTTTTTGGCTATTTCTCTCAACTAACCAGTAAATTTTCATTCCTGAAACTATCATACAATCATTATTTGTTTATAGATATCTGATGAAGCTGATGTTGATCAAGGATTTGAAGCCCTTCACATCTGAAACTGCTGACTGATTAGACTACCACATAATTATACTCTCCTACTATTTATAGTGACCCACAGTTTCTACCCTCATGAGCAAATGAGAGCATTCAAAACCCTCGTTGTTCACAAGTATTTTTCAGCAACTTTTGTCCAGGAAGTAGACAGGAAGATGAATGATTTTCATGTCATAGTTGGGAAGGTAACTTTTTACTTTTATACCTAAATATCTTTCATGATAGGAACATTTTGAATGATGAAATTATGTTATTCATATATTTTCAAATATATTTCCTACCTCATATTCATGTATATCTCATACAATTTTTTTATAGGTGAAATATTCACAATCAGATCCTGTGCTAATAAGTAACTGAGGCTTGGGCAAGTAAATAAGGAACAGTTTCATGTACTGATGTGCTTTGTGGCCCATGCCACCACTCTCACCATGATTGTGCCCATCATACCAATAGCAGAAATGGCTCCAGAAATGGCCATAGGTACAGTTGCTCTGACTGGTTTAATACAAAATCCCTACTATATATTCAATGTCCAAGAAGCATGTTTTTTGGTAACAACATTCACAAATTGCTTTGAAGTTCCATGCTGAAGTTATAATACCTGGACTTTTGAGTGGATATTAATTTCACCAGAAGTGAACTATTGGTGTAAGTGTTCAAGTGATGCTGATGATGGAACCCCTATGACTAGTTATTGTGACAGTGACAAAGGGTTCTATTTTGAATGTGTAAATATTTTAGGTACACCAGAATCAGCATGGTTTTGTGAATTCTGATTCAACATGTTCTATAAAAAAATATGTACCTATTCATAATAAATATATCATTCAATCATTGTTCATTATTGTTTCAATCAGATCACTGAATAACTATAATTTTCTATGAAGATTTTTTTCATGACTCATGTAGATCTTTTGTAATATAGTGGAATAATACAATGTATTTTTCATTTAATGAATATCACAATTATTTTGATATACTTACTTTATTTGTCTTACATTTATAAATGATAAAAATAAATCACAACAAACTGTAATTTGTAAAAGTACTCATAATCTTGTGAATTTTCACCTTGTTTTCACCAATTTTCTCTTCTATTTCTTTATCTCCCAGGACACTTTCTTCATTACACTAAAATAAATAAAAAATGATGTAGTAGTAGTATTAGGTAATTAGGTGTTTTCTTGAGAACATACCAGGTCTCTCGGTTCTGATCCTTGATTCATGATTTGAACCTTTTGTCTGCTCTCAGTTTTTGATCCACATCAGTCTTGCATATTTCGAATGGACAAGAGATTGATGACCCATATTTTATTGCAATGGGACCCAAGCTGGATATTCTCATCTTTCAGGCACTACGTTCTCCTACAAGGTAGATGATTCATTTATGTATTAGAAACATGATGTTTCCAAACTATGTAGGTCCATTAAAACTAATGAGTATTGGTTTATTTTATCAAAATGAAAAAAAGATAAGTTTTCCATAGGATGAAACACTAAACTCATCAGTTCTAGAGTAGGTAGGTACATATAAATAATATTAAAATCCTTTTTCTTAGGTACCTGTTATGAAAATAGTGTCTGACACATATCCTCTGGTTTATTATGATTGATTCTGTTGCTGATTCTTTCTCTTGATGGCTGCTATCCACATTTCCCTTATTTTTCTTGATAGATCCTTCATCTCTGGGTAATGCTCAGAGTTTTTCACAGTATTACAGTAGGAATGTGACAAAACAGCAAATGGTCCCGATCTGCACTGCTTCCACAATCCACCACAATTCACGTTACTGGCAATTTTTTCTTTGAAATCATACTGAGTTTTCATTATTCACAATAAATCTAGCCGAAACTCGATGAAATAATACTGTAAGAGGCTTCCAAAACCCACGAAGTTCTCAAGTAAACAAACTTGACTTTGGTTTATTTGCCAACCAGACGCCATTTTGAAATTATTTGACAGGTCGTTGGATTGCCTAATAGATTGCTTTGGAAAGACATTACACACGCCATTATTTCAAATATTCTTCCTTCTTTTCATTAAACATGGATAAATCACAAGAAAATCATATTTCTAGTTGACTCATATAATAAAAAAAATGTGTCCAACATTGTGTGATATATATAAATTGTCCAATGATGGAAAAAGAAGGGCAAATTGTTCTAAATGTGATCCAGAAGACAGGCGGAAAAGATGGTGAAATTTGTAACTTTATATAGTGAAATATCTCGATAAATAGTGGTTTGTTCACATTTTCATTATGAAATTCGTGTTTTTCAGACGAAAATACGTAAGTACCAAAAAAAATTTTCGAAAAAAACCCCATCGCATGATAAGTGCACTTTTACCCAACAGATTGTTCGCAAGGACTGGAGCGGTTTTCAAAATAAGACCAGGGAGGTACAATTTAAATCAAAGACACTATCCAGACGACGAACGTATCCTAGCAGAATTTCGAAACAACCCAAATGGTACTGTAAGGGCAGTTGCGAGGACAATGAATTTAACGAAAAACAAAGTATGGAGATGTTTGAAACGCAACAGGATTAGGGCATTTAAACCAAAATTTCTACATACTCTGTTAAATGGTGATTTTGAACGACGGTTTGAATTTTGCTTATGGTTGCAGGGTAACTATCTTAACGACAGACTTTTCCTGAAGAACATGATGTTTACTGACGAGGCAACGTTTACAACAAACGGTGTGGTGTCTAGTCAAAATTGTAGGTTTTGGGCAGCTGAAAATCCGAATTGGGTAATTCATTGTAAAAACCAATACAGTGAAAAAGTTAACGTGTGGTGTGGCATATTCAACGAATGGATTATTGGCCCTTATTTCCTGGATAACCTGACTGGACAAAATTTTGTAAATTTTTTACAAAATGGTCTCCATGATTTTCTCATGGAATTGCCATTAGCACAAAGACAAAACTTAATCTTTCAATTAGATGGTGCCCCCGCACACAATTCTTGGATAGTTCGGAACTTTTTAAATGCAATTTTCCCTATGAAGTGGATAGGTAGAAATTCTCCTTTAGAACCATGGCCCCCTAGATCGCCAGATATTACCCCTTGTGATTTTTTTCTGTGGGGGCATTTGAAGAATAAAGTGTATGCTACTCAGCCGCGTAATAGAGAGGAACTTTGCTTTTCAATTAGGCAAGCGTGTCAGGAAATAACTCCCCAAACTTTAAGAAAAGTGAATGTACGTTTGAGAAGAATTGTTGAAAAGTGTATTGTTTCAGAAGGTAGTTATGTTGAAAACACAAGAATCTAAAATAAAGTAATTCGTAATTTTGTTACCACTGTTACAAATAAAGAACTTATTAAAAAAAAGACTTGAACTTTTTTTTTTGTTCAAATCAGCTCTTGAGATTTCGAAAATATGAATTGAGGGGTTTTTGGGGATGCTGATTCCGAATCTGATGAGAAAAGTTGTCTAAAATAAGCATTAATATTCATTTCTCAAAAAATGCCTTTTTTCTCCCCCCAACTTCGCACGCCAATGGTGAATGAATGTGATCACTATGCCAAATACTTAATTTTTCTAACATAAAATCACCACCAAAATCTCAAGAAAATCGCTAATAACAGATATTCGGGTGCATTGACGAAAAAAGTGAATTTATTTTTTTTTTCTGCTCAAATCAGCTCTTGAGATTTTGAAAATATGGATTGGGGGGTTTTTGGGAATGCTGATTCTAATTCTGATAAAAAAGTTATCTAAAATGAGCCCTAATATCCTTTTCCCAAAAAACAGCTTTTTTTTACCCCCCCACACCGCACGCCTATGGTCGATGAAAATGTTCACTATGCCAAAATACTTCATTTACCTAACATATAATCACCACCAAAATTTCAAGAAAATCGCATTATTAATAACTGAGATATTAGGGTGTATTCATGAAAAGCGGGACACACTGTATATTTTTTTAAGAATGAATTATTATTATTATTATTATTAGGGAAAGATTTATATTCTCCAATTGATTATTTTTCAAGGCTCATCAAAGGTGATGGTGAGGTTCTAGAAGAGATTGTCAGTAAACAGCAACACAAAGCCATAAATCAACAAGCAACAAAAGGAGATGGAGATTTTTTTCAAAACAGATTGTCAAAAAAATTGAAGAAATGAAATTTTTTATATGAAAAATAAATGAATTGATGCAAGAATCATAAATCACTTTCAATTTGCTTATTATAAAGAAAACCTCTGAAACAGCTTAGGTAATTTTTGACTACCTCTTGTCTATACCAAGTTGGACAATATAGTTCTTAGGGTAATATGAGTTAATGGAAAGTGCCTTCATATCTGATATGTACTTTGTAGTGCTTTTTGGATGGGTACAAATGTAGGCATTAAATGAACAGTTATAAAATAATGTATATACATTTTATTCAGTTTAACAAATTCTCAGAACTATGAGTATCACACTCTCTAGCTGAAATAGTACATCCTGGTAATATCTAATGCTTGATCCTAACACTATTATAGTATCCACGATATACAGGGTGTTTACCCTTATATATACCCGCATATTTTGACATATCAAATCGGCTCTTGATTATCTTTTCATCATTTTATTCCCTGAACTTTCATCCTCAAATTGGCCTTGAGAACATTTCCAAAGCTCATCTGATAACTTGATGAAAACCACACTTCCTTATAGCTTTCATAATTAATAACCAAAGTTCTGCAAGAAAATTCTGCGACACCCTGTATGCTTATTTCACGAAATTACAGGCACCTTTTTTTTGAAGAAGAGCAGAACACCTATTTTTCTGAATTGTTTCCTCTTGGATATTTTAGCAGTAGCATTCAAATGATTTCAATATTTTTTAGCAATGATTTCTTGTTACTGAAAGGTTGTACTTCACATTTGTTAGATTGTCCAAATCACTAAAATATCATTGGCAACAGCGCAATTTCAACTATTTGGTTCTATTGCTATTTCAACCTTTTTTGGGCAAAAATTATATCAACATCAAATACCACAATTCCACTGCTGCCAATGCAATTTTCAAATTGGGATAAGAACCTCCTCACCACTAATAGGAGTTTGAATTTTAATGTTACTGAAGACTAATTGTTCATAAAATACAACTTAAATAATGAAAATATCACAGGTTAGGTATGTTAACTGCTTCTGTATTCCTACCCCTGTGGAATCAAAACAGTTGCATAAAATATGACGTGGAACCGTCCCTCCAAGAGGGATCGTCCACTATTTTCGCTCTACAGAGCGGACAGGTCTGTTCCCTATCGAACCACGTGGCAACGCAGCTTTCGCAGAAGATGTGGCGACAATGCAGCAGGACCGGCGAGTCGTATTCGTCGTGGCAAATCGGGCAGCTCTCGCCGGCTGTTTGTATCTGATCTTTGCTAGGAGATGATCCGATACTCTACAATGATAGATATTTTGTATTCACGATAGAAAATATCACGTCGCTGCACCTCACGGCAGCAGCTTGAACACTTCTGAGCGGTTTGTTTTTATGATGTGACCAATAAGAACAAACAAAAAAAATGTGAACCAATAAAAACAAGGTGAACAGGCCGCTTTGACAGCTTTCAAGAACTCCGATAGGTGGCGTACGCTTATTTTCTATGGCGAATAGGTCGCGTGAACGATGACCGACCCTGGAGGTGAAACATTGAAACACAACCTCACTTTTCTGTGAAACATTTAAACAGAACCTCACTTTTTTATTTGTTTACAGAGGAATCAAAGGATTGAAATAGTTTTTCACAATGTTATGGCATTCGAATCGTGTTTTTTTGCGCTATTCATTAATTTAAGCATGCCTTCTCATTGTACTGTTGTACAATGCATAAAAAATGCAGCGAGAGACGAAGGAATACGATTGTTCAGGTAAATAGTAATCTCACAAAGTTTTCATTATGAAATTTTGTCATTTCTTATTGAAATTCCACCTGCCACTTCTGCAATAGAAGCTAATACTGCTAATAGATTGAAAATGTCTACAACACACACGACCATATTTCGTAAGCATGTCAGACCAGTCCTTTCGTTTGATTGCATGAATCCAAAAACTTCTCAATAAATAAATATTCTGAGAATATTCCTTTTTAAACAAGTAAGAGGTTGGTCAACTTTTAACTTTTTACGTTAATCGAACCAGGTTTTCTTATTGTGCGCAGCTAGTACGCAGATGCCCTTGTAGATGACCGAGGATTGGTCCATCATATGATGGAGAGTAACCTTAAAACATTTCCTGGTTTTGTGTTGCTTCTTACTTTTCATCATTCCTATTATTTTTTAGTCTTGGCCCCTTGGAAATTGATGCTGCATAAATCCACACATTACTTGTACCAACCGGATTTCTTAGTCTCTCACTGCGGTTTTTGTGCATTGCACAACAGCACGATGTGATGACAAAGAGGAGAGGGGGTGACTAACCTACTATTCTTTGGTGATGACATGCGCGAATTAATGAATTAATCATTCCAGAATTACGTCATTTGACAGGTTGCTGAGGGACATACATTGTATTTTGACAAGATTTGTCATATGAAACCAGAATTAGTGGGATCGTTTTCCTTGGAATCCGAGTTGGAACCAGAACGAATTTCATAATATTGTTTGGTGAAACTATTATCATATTGTGGAAATGGCAAGGATGGCCAGGGCTATGCTCATTAAAGGTAACCTAACAGATAGTTTGTGTGCCCCTCAAGAAACCATGTCAAAATCACGTTTTATGGACTGGTCAATAGCCGAAAAACACGAATCGTTCAATCATCTGTAAAGTAAACAAATAAGAAAAGTGATCGAGGTTGTGTTTCAATGTTTCACCTCCAGGGTCGGTCATCTGACAGTTCTTGCACGCAGCCCATTGAATCAAACTAGGAGCCCACACCATAAAAAATTGTTGACAATAATATTCAGTGATGCCGTCCGCCCAAACGTTTTTTTTTTTATTAAAATAACTTGCCATCGAGACCTCGTGTTTTTAATACAACTTCACCCACGCGGGCCCCACCCTTTGGTCTACGGTTTTTATTCAGCAAGCTTATATCCATGTAGTGGCAGGTGGAATTTGGGGGTTATTATACTGCTGTGTGTGGACAAATGAGACTCAAAAAATAAATTGTGGCTCCTGGTCTATATTCAGAAGGAATACAAAATTTCAAAAAAATATCTAGCTTTCCTCATTGTGATGAACATCATGGATTTTTTTTTCCTAGATGGGAATCCATGGAAAATGTAAATATACAAACTCAACTGTGGATCTTGTCCTGAGGTATATATCGGTGAGAAAGGTCGTACGTTTAATCAGTACATTCATGAACATAAGGTGAATTTCTTGAAAAAGAAAGCAAATTCAACATGTCCCAACCATAGTTTTGATGATAAATTCTACACGTAGAAAATAAAGTAATGAAACTCAATTATTTTGAATCATTAGAAATCAACAAACTCAAAAATTCTGACATTTTACTTAACCCTTTCATTGCGGGAACCGGAAAAACCCGCAAAACGTTTGTACACAAAATTCGCGGGAGACGGCTTTTCATGCACGTGTTTTTAACGCATTCATTGCGTGAGCCCGGCGTTCACGTCTACGTATTGTCAAGATGCAACTAAACATGTCTCAACAGGATTTACCGACTGTGGATGCGGTTTTCATTTTATTCAATATTTCAGTTGGTTGGATTTTATTTGTTTCAAGTGAATTTAAACCACGATGGCTCGAAAATATCTCAATGACGATCAATATGAAGAGTTGTTGTATGCTGAAAAAAACTGAATTCTGCTTTGCGCCTTGTGATGTTCCACTGTGTATTATAAAATGTTTTGAAAGGTACCTATCACACTGTCAAAAATTATTAAATTTCATTTCATATAATATGGGAATATTTTCAATTCATTATAGATAGATGTAAGGAATCGCATTATAACATTTCATTTTAAATAAAGACTATTGAAATAGAACTCATTTTGGGTTGAAATATGTAAAAAAATCGCATTCACAAGTTATCCTGTGGTAGCGGGAGACGGGCGTTGTCGCAACGCTAAATTTTTCCCGTTTTGAGAGCACGACTATCAAAATTTTACCCGCAATGAAAGGGTTCATGATCAATTGGACCTCAATAGTTCACCACTGTTGAATTTGTTTTCTTAGTAGGTATATAGGTTTGTGCTATCAACTCTTTCAAGTTAATCCTGTACACAGTATTTTTATGTAGATATTGTGGCTAATTTCCGAAAATGAAGGTTTATCTTACCTGTCCACAGGTAACTAATCCTTAAGGGTTGGGAAAGTAGGATATATAAAAGTTAAGCAAGCCAACATTAGTTTAGTTCATTGTACCAGTATATTACCTGATGAAGCTACTATTATAGCAAAACATGTGGTGTGTGGTGGAGAATTTTGTAGAAATCTTATCGTTTGTGAAGTTTTTACATTATAGAATTTTTTCTCGAATTTTAGAAATGAGTGTTTTTGCCCATGTTCTCATTTGAAAATAACCTTTTATATATCATTGTTGTTAAGATGAAAGGCAATGAAAAATTTGTTCACAATATTATTCACATCATGTTGACAAAATGTTGATCAGTAGTTGAATGATAAACAATGCATAGGTATCCAATTTATGAGATAAATACAATAGATAATTCTGTTATGATTTTGCTATAATGAGAACTTGATAATGATAAGCCACTTCTATATTTGCTTCAGGAAATTGAATAGCTAATAGGACCTCAAGACATCAATTTTAATGAGGTCATCATCAATCAGATTGTAATGTTCTGTATAAATACTTTCATTGCATAATTCAGAGAAATATGAGGACAAATAATATTATCAATGGGAGTATTTTTTAGACAGCTTGTTACCATGCCATTTCTATTTAGGTAGTAGGCCAGAGCTATGCCCAGTTATACAACTGTAACTCACCACATTATGTAATAGTTTCAGGAATGCATTTTTCAATAGCTTCACCCTGGACATCAAATCAGACCCCTTGGAGATCATGTAGAAAGCAGACAAAAATACTGCTACAATTTTTTCAGGCCCTTGATAAGACTCTAGGAGATAATATAGCCATGGTTGTATGGTAGCTATGCTCCTGTACATCTGTGATATAGCCTCAATGAATAAGTAGACTTTTCCCTAGAATAATGAAAAAAATCAGTTGATGATTTATTCATCATAGTCATATTATTTTCCCATAATTTTCAATGGCCATTTCAATAGTAGTTTCATCCCTAATATTGTATGATGTGGAAAAATAAGAACTGGGATTTCCTTATCTGAACATGGACAACAAATGTGTTGATTGATAAATTCACATGACCTTTGTTCACTTCAAATAAATAGAAATTACCAGATTGATTTTCTTGAAGATCCATAATTGCAATTTTTATGTGATGGATTACCTACCTCTCCAGCTACCTCTACTACCTTCTACATATTTTTATACAGGTCAAAACAAAGAAAATATGGTAGGTACATACTCTTTTCTTGAACTCCAAAACTGATCCAGGCAACATTGTCAGCACTATCTTGAAAGAAACTGTAACAAGCTTCAAAGTGAAATCTGTTATGGTGACCACCCACAATAAGTTCCAAACAGTTAAAGGATGGGTGAAACTTCTAATCAGAACAAGATTCAGCACCACATTGAAATTGTGCAGCTCATCTGCAAAAACATAATGAATGAACAGTAAGCAAACCACAATATACAAAAATTCCAAGCATAATGTGGCTTTGCTTCTCCTTTGCCTCTTGGTAGCCTCTTTCTTCACAGCAGAGTTAGTGTGGGCAAAAGTTACAAAAAGAACAATTAGAATGAATATTCCTTCATGGTAATCATACACAGATTTTGCTATTAAAATTAGAATGAATGGTACATATTTGAGCAGGACTCTTATGAATTGTTGAGCTTCAATTACAGTTTGCCTTCTATCTGGGTCATCTGCATTATTGTTATCAGGAGGATTGTTTGGATCATTCTCAATATTTTCTAGGCTAACTGGATTCTCTCCCTGCTCTCTGGGACTATCAGGAACTTCCAAATTGATATAATAACTGTCATTGACTGCTTCATCACTTGACAATCTTGAAAGGTTCAGTTCTGATTGTGGTCTATTTAGAAAGCTTGTAACACCAGCATTAACAGTTCTAGCAGTTTCCACAAGAGGCTCAATTTCTCGAATGACATTGGTAAAACTGTCCCTCAGTTGTCTGGCACTTTCAACAGTTCGTCTTTGAAAAGATGCTGGAGCTGACATGGAAGGCAAAACATTACTTGAACTATTCAGGAGAGAAATTCTTGGCTGGGTATTGTCAGTCATATCTGCAGATTGACTTCGCTGAAAATTTGAATGTCCACTATTATGATTGTGTGTCATGATTGTTCAACTCAATTTCATAATTGAGTGGAAAAAGTTATGAAGAAAAATGTAAGCACTGTTGTGATTACAAAGAAAATATATGAATTTATATGAATATTATTCACTACTACACTTTAATTGTCAAATTATCTCAGTTATTGAATGAATAAATGAAATAATCATTTATTTTTGTTATTGTTCCCTAATCATGTATTTATCATTTCATCACTCCATAGTCCAAAGTCCACTTTGTAATTAGTTTTTGCATAGCCATAGATGTTTTTGTTATTATATTTACTGTCAGGTGGATGAGTACTGTCAGTTTGACACGACACTGGCACGGCAGCGTTGCCAGTGTTGCCACTGTAATTTCATTATTGGATAGGTGGATTTCCACAGTGAACCTTAAACCCAACAATGACGGCTAAATATCTAGACTATCTGACGGGTTAAACCATGGTTAAACGTTGGGAATTCCGTGCTCTTGCACTTGCACCCAGTGCGAGCCAGTTTTACCAATGGAACTTTCCGTTTGCCGGTTTGCGCCGCATGATGGCATGACGGACGACGCATGCTGAATGTTGATTTTTTGCCTAACAGCTCAATTTAATATTACTTGTGTTTTAATTTGTCCCAAATTTGGTCTTTTTATTTTTCAGCATTTTATTTAGTAGTGACTGACCTGTCTGCATTGATTGTACCTCCTAGAATACCATCAGAGGTATGATAATCATCATTGATAATAAATGCACTGACCTAAAGAATATTTCAGTTTTGCTTTTGTTGCATTAGAAATAGGGAAATGAATGGCGTTGTTTGGCCTAATGCTTATATTAGCCGATCCAGCTTGGTCTGACTGATGAATTGAGATTTGACGATTATTATTATTGAATAGGTGTCTGTCAATAATTGTTCCTCAAAGATGGACAAACGTGTGGACAATGTGAAAAAATATATAACCAGTCTATTGACTGCTAGCCCTTTAGCAATGACAATGATTCAGCTGAATAAGGAATATAGAAACACTATTGGGGAACCTATACCCTTCTCTAAATTAGGCTATAATTCCTTGGAGCACCTTTTGAGATCCATACCAGATACAGTTCGGGTAAGTGATTTTTCAATTTCATATTTTCTAAGAAGGCCCCTGAAAGCTATCTCTTAGCATAGTACTTACTTTAGTATTCACCTGAGCTCATATGCTTCCCTAATCCATTATTAGTTGTGCAAATAATAGTTTTTTCTTTACATTTTTATACCTATCCAGTGGATACCTGATATCTGATGCCAAATGCACAGCACACAAGGAATCACTAGTGAAACATTAAAACCATACTTAAAAAATTAATAAACCATAGGGGCCATTTTTAAATACAAACTTGAAATCTCTGCAGAATGTCATGTTTGGTGGTGCTAAAGGCACTAGCAAAGTCATAAGTAAGTAGATTAAAGATATTTCTTCAAAATAGGTAGTTCTTGAAGTATTTGCAGAATTTATTTCATATAAAAATATTGTATGGAATGATCTGTATCTACAAGACAAAAAAATGAATTGACTGCTTCCTGGTGGGTCAAGAATTTAAAAAAAAATTCTTAAGAATGTATGAAATATAATATTTATGTATGTATATTATATAAGGTATGAATAAAAAGTTTGTTTGTTCTATGTATTTGTTTTTATTATCATTATAGGTATTTTGCAATATTTTTATATTGGGGAGATATTCTTGTATCAGGTGAATGAATTTATTTAAGTATTCAAACTCCTTCAATGGAATAAACATTTTATTGCATTGATACATTTGAATGTTCCTTATACCCACATATGTTGTGATGGATCATTTATGATCAATTATTAATGATAGACATTTTCTGATCAACAATAATATTTAATTATCTGAATCTTATTGTTGGTTTCTAAGATGTTCAGTCATTTGTAGACTTGACTTACTGGGTATAAATAAGAATAAAATAATGCAGCCTATGCAAAAATTACCAAATCTGCTTCCTACACCTTTAGATAGCACTGATCAGGTTACTCAGATAAACAGTATTCATGAAAACCTTGATTAAACCAATTATATTTCAGTGTAAGTATATTTGAAAAAGCAGAAATAGAAGGTTTATTTTTATATTTTGTATTAAAAAATGAAAGTAAATATCTTTTAAAAAGATAAACAGCATACAGAGAAGTGCATGAAAAACGGCCAGGACTATAACTTTTGAATTATTTGAGATAGGATTTTGAAAATTGGTGGGCAGCTAGTATACCAAATCACGCATTAATTGATGAAACGATTTTTGTTTTATCACTTCCGGTTCTACTGGAAACGACCCTAACTTTTGATTTCTTAACGGGACATCCTGTATTGTATTCCATAATCGGTTAGGGATTGTCATAACGAATTCATCGATACCGGGTTTGATAGGGTTATTTCAAACGATTACGCAGATATTCGCATTTTAAGTTTCCATATGGTCAATGAGTGTGACAGAGAAAAAAGTTTTGACACACCCATTGAGCATGGAAACTTCGAACGCAAATATCTTTGTAATCGTTTGAAATAACCCTATCGAACCCGGTACCGTTGAATTCCTCATGATAATCCCTAACCGATTATGGAATACAAAACAGGGTGTTCCATTTAAAAATCAAAAGTTGGGGTCGTTTCCGGTGAATCTGAAAGTGATAGAAGAACAATTGTTCCATCAATTAATGAGCAATTTGGTATACTTGATAGCCACCAATTTTCAAAACCCTATCTAGAATAATTCAAAAGCTATATTCCTGGCCGTTTTTTGTACACTTCTCTGTATGTAATCAAATCTTTGCAGTGTATATCCATTTGTGTATCCATAAGGATAAAAAATATGTTTCGTAATTAATAATAATTTTTTTATCAAAATATGATAGGTACAAACTCCTTGAATAAATAGTGGAATAAACATGGCCATAGACTCTCTATTTCCAAGATGTATGTTTTTTTCATCATTATGTATGTATAAAATGCTGGTATATAGTTTTTGTATCTGTAGTTCCAAAGACAAGCACATAATTATCATTATTTTTGTCCAAAAATGGATAGACGTTTTCAATAATCGAAGAATTTTACTCGGAATTCTCGCTAGGTATTTATTTCTTTCAAAAGAAATTTGAAAATTGCGAAAAATATAGTGGAGTACCATTTGTGTCTACAAAAAAACTAACCGATTTGCGCCATGGACTTACTGATCGACTGCACATACATAGGTGCAAAACTACCTGTTTGAAATAACAACAAATTATGTCAATATTGATTACAAAAGTTTATTTTATCTTGGCACCTTGCTTCTCGGAAATGAATTTTCAACCCATGGATCTATCCTTAAATTCTTGTGCAATACCATCCTGTGCTTTAGATCGTATTCATATTTTTAGGTACGCGGAACAGGTCCAATGGCTGAAATCCTCCCTGTATTATCAGAAAAGTCCATTCACGTGATGGAAATGGTTTCCTCGCAAAGGAAACCTACCCCCAAAAGACGCGATGCCTATTACGGGTAGATACCTCAATACCAAAATCAATAACCCAAAATAACCGTGTTTTCAATTTCCAGAACCAGAACTGTAGTCATAGCCCCTATGACAAATAACAAGCCTTCTCCGAAGCCCCAACCCACAATAAATAAACCCCAGAAAATGTTCTATCCCAAGCCAACTCCTTCAGCAATCCAATCAAACTCGTCAAATGTAACCGCTAAACCAGCGGGCAGCTATAACAGTTACAAACCATTAATCCAACCTCCCACGCAACCACCCACACAACCACCCACACAACCACCCACACGACTCACACAACCACCCACACAACCACCCACACAACGACTCACAGCTACTCCCACACAGCCACTCACAGTCAATAAAAACATCAAACAAGAAAATTACTCGCCACCCTCAAGCTCTTCAAGCAAAGGCAGAATCAATAATATCATACTATCTTCTCCTTCGGCGAACAAGTCGCAAGAATCCATTATCAACTCACACAAACCTTCCCACAACCATAACGCCACCAATGGAACAGCAAGAGAGGAAGCGGGAGAGGCGGAGTCGATAAACGGTTTCAAAAGTCTCAGAAGAAAGTCGTATCACGTGGAAAAGGTGAAACCACCGACTGAAAATCTCGAAGACAGAGTTCCTAGTGTCATCAGGAACAATCTCAAGACAATGATCAGTATGCATCCCGAAGGTATTTGGTGTGCGAAAATACCTGAGGAATATAGGTAAGCAGAAATGTCAAGTTGACAATTGGCAGTTGACACATAACTGTTAATAGTTATGTATCATCTGTTAACAATGGTGTGTTCAGTGTTAACAGTTATGTATTACCTTTTACTATAGTTAATGCATACCTGTTGACACATACTGGTTAACTGTTACTACTGTTACATAATAATTATATTTACCTGTTGATAGAAATCATTTGATTGTATTTAACTCTAACTCCGGCCAATAAAACATGTCAACAAAGAACAGTTAGCATTGAACAGATAATAATATCAATCAATACTTGATGGATCTTTCAACCATTCTGAACCCGCCGCTATATTCCTTTCCTGATGTATACCATCTCTCTATTTTTTTCTTGTCCATAAGGGACCCCGCACTATTAATATTGAAATCTTGTCTACGGTGAAATTTTGTGAAAATATAGAATTAGATAGATCAAATCATGCTGAACAAGAAATGTTGTTTGGTCTAAGGCCCGTTATTCCCGTCAAAAGAAATTATAACCTCTTGAAGCTAAACGAGATAACCTCTACCAGAACAACACATCCTGTGTGTAATATGGTTTTGGCTAATATGACATTTTTGAGTTGTCAGATAATGGTAATTCATGTTATGTCAGTAGGAGTCATTGAGCAAAAGATGGCTTATCAGAATAGGTTTGAAGATTCTTATATTATCTCCATCCAAGAAGGCAATCCTCAGGTAAATAACTTCAAGTTGAAGTGATCCTATAAACAGTAGAATTTTTCTCAGAACTATCGCCCAAGATTCTAGTTAATCCGGAATTGTTTGTGATGTTTGTGATGTTCCTGCGATATCCTGAAAAAAATATCAATTAGTATTATGATTTCTCAATTTCTCCATATATTATATATTATAACATACATACATCATGCATAAAAGCATATGTCATTCCTTCCTAGAACACTTCTTCATTAAAAAAACAACTTGTATTGATATTCAACTCATAGGTGTATAAATTTGGAAAAAAGCCGGTATAAAACCACTGTTCATACCTAACTCTTAAAGGCGACACCCTCCTTTGTAGAGAGGCATTACGAACACCAAAGTTGATACTCTCCCCTCGTAAGGGTACCTGGCGTGATTCCATACACAAAACGAGTCATTTGATATTTCGACTCGATGAATAATTGAAGAAAGGAAACAAGCTAGTCTGAAGTGTTTTTTATATGAAGAATGAAGTTGATTTAATTGAAAACTTATCTTGAAGATTCTTATATTATCTCCATCCAAGAAGGCAATTCTCAGGTAAATTACTTCAAGTTGAAGTGATCATATAAACGGGGAAATTTCTCTCAAAACTATCGCCCAAGATTCTAGTAAATCCGGAATTGTTTGTGATGTTTGGGATGTTCCTGCGATATCCTGAAAAAAAAATCAATTAGTATCATGATTCCTCAATTTTTCCATATATTATATAATATAACATTCATACATGCATAAAAAAATGTCATTCCTTTCTAGAACACTTCTTCATTTAAAAAAACAACTTGTATTGATATTCAACTCATAGGTATATAAATTTGGAAAAAAGCCGGTATAAAACCACTGTTCATACCTAACTCTTAAAGGCGACACCCTCCTTTGTAGAGAGGCATTACGAACACCAAAGTTGATACTCTCCCCTCGTAAGGGTACCTAGCGTGATTCCATACACAAAACGAGTCATTTGATATTTCGACTCGATGAATAATTGAAGAAAGGAAACAAGCTAGTCTGAAGTGTTTTTTATATGAAGAATGAAGTTGATTTAATTGAAAACGTATCTTGAAGATTCTTATATTTTCTCCATCCAAGAAGGCAATTCTCAGGTAAATTACTTCAAGTTGAAGTGATCATATAAACGGGGAAATTTCTCTCAAAACTATCGCCCAAGATTCTAGTAAATCCGGAATTGTTTGTGATGTTTGTGATGTTCCTGCGATATCCTGAAAAAAATATCAATTAGTTTTATGATTTCTCAATTTCTCCATATATTATATATTATAACATACATATATGCATAAAAGCATGTCATTCCTTCCTAGAACACTTCTCCATTAAAAAACAACTTGTAATGATATTCAACTCATAGGTATACAAATTTGGAAAAAAGCCGGTATAAAACCACTGTTCATACCTAACTCTTAAAGGCGACACCCTCCTTTGTAGAGAGGCATTACGAACACCAAAGTTGATACTCTCCCCTCGTAAGGGTACCTGGCGTGATTCCATACACAAAACGAGTCATTTGATATTTCGACTCGATGTATAATTACAGAAAGGAAACAAGCTAGTCTGAAGTGTTTTTTATATGAAGAATGAAGTTGATTAAATTGAAAACTTATCTTGAAAATTCTTATATCATCTCCATCCAAGAAGGCAATTCTCAGGTAAATAACTTCAAGTTGAAGTGATCCTATAAACGGTAGAATTTCTCTCAAAAGTATCGCCCAAGATTCTAGTTAATCCGGAATTGTTTGTGATGTTTGTGATGTTCCTGCGATATCCTGAAAAAAATATCAATTAGTATTATGATTTCTCAATTTCTCCATATATTATATATTATAACATACATACATGCATAAAAGCATATGTCATTCCTTCCTAGAACACTTCTTCATTAAAAAAACAACCTGTATTGATATTCAACTCATAGGTATACAAATTTGGAGTAAAGCCGGTATAAAACCACTGTTTACCTAACTCTTAAAGGCGACACCCTCTTTTGTAGAGAGGCATTACGAACACCAAAGTTGATACTCTCCCCTCGTAAGGGTACCTGGCGTGATTCCATACACAAAACGAGTCATTTGATATTTCGACTCGCTGAATAATTAAAGAAAGGAAACAAGCTAGTCTGAAGTGTTTTTTATATGAAGAATGAAGTTGATTAAATTGAAAACTTATCTTGAAGATTCTTATATTATCTCCATCCAAGAAGGCAATTCTCAGGTAAATAACTTCAAGTTGAAGTGATCCTATAAACGGGGGAGTTTCTCTCAAAACTATCGCCCAAGATTCTAGTAAATCCGGAATTGTTTGTGATGTTTGTGATGTTCCTGCCATATCTTGAAAAAAAAATCAATTAGTATCATGATTCCTCAATGTGTCCATATATTATAACATACATACATGCATAAAAGCATGTCATTCCTTCCTAGAACACTTCTTCATTAAAAAAACAACCTGTATTGATATTCAACTCATAGGTATACAAATTTGGAAAAAAGCCGGTATAAAACCACTGTTCATACCTAACTCTTAAAGGCGACACCCTCCTTTGTAGAGAGGCATTACGAACACCAAAGTTGATACTCTCCCCTCGTAAGGGTACCTGGCGTGATTCCATACACAAAACGAGTCATTTGATATTTCGACTCGATGAATAATTGAAAAAAGGAAACAAGCATGTCTGAAGTGTTTTTTATATGAAGAATGAAGTTGATTAAATTGAAAACTTATCTTTAAAATTCTTATATTATCTCCATCCAAGAAGGCAATTCTCTGGTAAATAACTTCAAGTTGAAGTGATCCTATGAACGGGGGAATTTCTCTCAAAACTATCGCCCAAGATTCTAGTAAATTCGGAATTGTTTGTGATGTTCCTGCGATATCCTGAAAAAAATATCAATTAGTATTATGATTTCTCAATTTCTCCATATATTATATTATATTATATTATAACATACATATATGCATAAAAGCATGTCATTCCTTCCTAGAACACTTCTTCATTAAAAAAACAACTTGTATTGGTATTCAACTCATAGGTATACAAATTTGGAAAAAAGCCGGTATAAAACCACTGTTCATACCTAACTCTTAAAGGCGACACCCTCCTTTGTAGAGAGGCATTACGAACACCAAAGTTGATACTCTCCCCTCGTAAGGGTACCTGGCGTGATTCCATACACAAAACGAGTCATTTGATATTTCGACTCGATGTATAATTACAGAAAGGAAACAAGCTAGTCTGAAGTGTTTTTCATATGAAGAATGAAGTTGATCAAATTGAAAACTTATCTTGAAGATTCTTATATTATCTCCATCCAAGAAGGCAATTCTCAGGTAAATAACTTCAAGTTGAAGTGATCCTATAAACGGGGGAATTGCTCTCAAAACTATCGCCCAAGATTCTAGTAAATCCGGAATAGTTTGTGATGTTTGTGATGTTCCTGCGATATCCTGAAAAAAAATTAGTATAATGATTCCTCAATTACTCTATATAATATATATTATAACATACATACATGCATAAGAGCATGTCATTCCTTCCTAGAACACTTCTCCATTAAAAAACAACTTGTAATGATATTCAACTCATAGGTATACAAATTTGGAAAAAAGCCGGTATAAAACCACTGTTCATACCTAACTCTTAAAGGCGACACCCTCCTTTGTAGAGAGGCATTACGATCACCAAAGTTGATACTCTTCCCTCGTAAGGGTACCTGGCGTGATTCCATACACAAAACGAGTCTCAATATTTCGACTCGATGAATAATTAAAGAAAGGAAACAAGCTAGCCTAAAGTGTTTTTTTATGTGAAGAATGAAGTTGATTGAATTGAAAACTTATCTTGAAGAATCTTATATTATCTCCATCCAAGAAGACAATTATCAGGTAAATAACTTCAAGATGAAGTGATCCTATAAACGGGAGAATTTCTCTCAAAACTATCGCCCAAGATTCTAGCCAATCCGGAATTGTTTGTGATGTTCCTGCGATATCCAGAAAAAAAAATCAATTAGTATTATGATTCCTATTTCTATGAAAAACATATTAAATCAGCCTTGAATGTATCGGGTCTCAATGATTTGATAGTTTATCGGTTAACTGATAACTACATTTTCACAAAAACTGTTAACACATTCCCGGACAGTCACTATTGAGACATACTTGTAATCAATTAACATTGTACATTAATCATTGTTGACACAAACAGTTAAGATGAAGAATAGTTAACAATTATTAAGAATTTTCTTTAACATTTTTGAACAGGCAGAAACTAACAAAACTTGGACCCCAATAATCTGATAGATAAATAGTAACTGAAAGCACATGTTAACAGTAACTACTAACATCATGTCATTGAATATTCAACACAGTAACTGTCAACACAAACTTGTTATTAGTTGACATTTATCAATGACTGCTAACATAACCTGAAAACAATTGATAGCGACCATTCTGAGTAACAATAACAATTCTTGGAAATCAAGTAAAATACAGATTTACTAAATAATATTCGGGACATATCTGAAATATCAAGAGATGGGATTCTGCACCTAGGTATCTGTATTTCACCATGTCCATCGTTCGACTGACCTGTTTACTATTGACAAATACATTCGTCAGTTGAAAGTTAATGACACAATTCTGTTGATAGTCAACATGTTACAGATAACAGTAAATGACTGGCAAGATTTGAAATTTAACTATCAACATTTAACAGTTAACATGTAACATTGAGCTAATAATATTCAACACTTAACTGTCAACAATTATACATTCTTTAGGAAAATGTTCAACAAAGACCTGAGATACCAAGAGTTAGGCTTCAATAATTTGATAGACCTCTGTCTCGTGTTGGAGTCCGTATTTCACTATGTCCGACCATCTTCAGACGATTTCAAACTGTACGATCGAAGTAAACCTCTGCCAACTTGCGCAGAGCAGAATTACACTATTGCCAGCTACAGCGAAAATACGGATATGGAAGGATCTAAGGCTTTGCCTGCAATCGATGTAAGAAGAATAAATTACGAAAAAAGTGTTCAAAGAAAATTAATTTTTTAATTTTTTTTTTCAGTGGAAGGACATGATTGGTTTTCTTCCTCCTGGAACTTTCAATCCTGGCAGGGAGATTCCAAGGGCGTTTTTACCTCCAGAAACTAGGGAAAACGAGTGTATAGATGTGGTTGTTGGGGAAATTTATGACCTTTCCAAGTTTTGGGTATACAAAGATGTGGAAAACCTCAACAAACTGATGGATGATATGCAGTAAGTGGATGAATGATTTGAAATAATTGCATTGGAATGCTTCTCAATTCGAGTTGAATTTCATTAAACTATCTGCAGATTTTTTTCCATTTTTCAATTCCATATTTCACTAAAATTTCAAATGGCATTGTGGGTTGTGGTGCACCTCATTGGAAAGACTTTTCAAATCTCTGTATACCTGTGTTTTAATTTTCGAAATCGAACGGTCAGTTTGCGAAATATCAAGGGAAACGTTCGAAAATATCGGCCCTTAAAAGTTGTTCAGAAAACCGCCGTAAAAGTAAAATGATGGAACTGAAAGCACGAGTTTGGAGAATGAGAATGTAAAATGAAAACAATTAGTCTACTAGCAAAATAATATTTCTTTCCAGATTGTTTTACGAAAGTCATTACTTGGAATATTTCATGACGAAACAGTTGATACGCGAAGGGGTGTATTGCGTTCAAATAATTTTTGGGGAATACCATCGAGCCCTGATCGTCGATTTAACCCCTTTAAATGAAGATATGATCAGGGTGAGTCATACGAATCATCTAGAAACATTTCATACCACAAAAATCTGGTTCATGTGACATTCCTGATTCTCTCCCCTAATTTTCAGGTGATTTTCATCGATTACGGAACGATGGCGAAAGTCTCGATAAAGGATTTGTGCTTTTTGCACGAACAGTTCTCTTATCTGCCCGCGCAAGCGATGAGATGCAGACTCGCCAACATTTGTCCCCCAGAAAAAGGGACTCCTTGGAGCAGGGATTCCGCGAAGACTTTCAGGAATATCATCCGAAAAAGGCAGTTGACGGCGAAAATAAGTCGAATACATTGGAAGGTTCGTGGAATTTCCTATTGTCGTTTGAAGATTTTTCATTACCGGGTGTGCCCAAGTTATCGTATACCTAGTTGCGTTTTATTTATCCGATTTCGCCACCTGAATCATTTTGAGGTGTTGTTTTTCACCATAGCTCATCAATCTATCTGGAATGGAATTCACAAATTGTAGTTTAGTGAAGTGTTCTTGCAAATACCGGCTGAGAGATTGTGAGTCGTCTAGAATAGTTTGTTCTTGGAATAGTCTAAAACTTAACTTGAATTAGTATCATCACATGTTGATTGCTCCATGTAATATTAATTTTATTTTTTTATCTGGGAAGGCATTCACTAATGAGGAAATCCAATGTGGAGTGTCCTACAAACGAATATGGAATTCTTCTAATAATCTGAGGAATCTGACAAAATCTGCATTGTCCGTGGAATATCCTGAAAAAGAAAAACCTTCGATTAGTATTATGTTTTTCTAATTGCACCATATATCATTCATTATAATGAACACCTATGAATGAGAGCACTGCTCCATTAAAACAACGACTATTGCGTTCTTTCAGTTCATGAATAATTTGGAAAAGAACTGGTATGAAACCACTGTTTATACCTAACTCTTGAAGGCGACACCCTCCTTTGCAGAGAGGCATTACGACCGCCAAAGTTGATACACTCCCCTCGTAAGGGTACCTGACGTGATTTCATATATGATGTCGAATAATTTTTCGACTGATTGAATGGATTATTTAGTGAATCGATATAAATCGTTTTTTTACGAAGCAATGTTCGAAGAAAAATGGAACTATGAAATAATTTTGAGGAATGGAAACTTATCTTGAAAATCTCCATATTTCATTTCTATCCGGAATGGCATTCACAGATTTCTAATGGAGTTAAGTGTCCTACAGACGAGTAATGATTAATCTTATTTATCTAGAGGCGTTCATTGATGAGGAAATCCAAAGTGGAGTGTCATGCAAACGAATATGGAAATCTTCTTCCAAGATTCTGAGAAATATGGGATGATCTGCATTGTCCATGGAATATCCTGAAAAAGAAAAACCTTCGATTAGTATTATGGTTTTCTAATTGCGCCATATATCATTCATTACAATAAACACATATGAATGAAAACATGGGTCCACCCTTCTGAGAGCACTGCTCCATTAAAACAACGACTATTGCGTTCTTTCAGTACATGAATAATTTGGAAAAGAACTGGTATGAAACCACTGTTTATACCTAACTCTTGAAGGCGACACCCTCCTTTGCAGAGAGGCATTACGACCGCCAAAGTTGATACACTCCCCTCGTAAGGCTACCTGACGTGATTCCATATATGATGTTGAATAATATTCAGACCGTTTGATTGAATGGATAAATTAGTGAATCGATATAAGTCGTGTTTTCACGGAGAAATGTTCGAAGAAGAATGGAACTATGAAATGTTTTCAAAGAATGAAAAGTTTTATGTTCATGAAAACTTATCTTGAAATTCTCCATATTTCATTTCTATCTGGAATGGCATTCACCTATTTCTAATGAAGTGAAGTGTCCCACAGACGACTTATGATTAATCTCATTCATCTGAAGTTATTCAGCGATGAGGAAATTCAAAGTGGAGTGTCATACAAACGAATATGGAATTCTTCCAAGATTCTGAAAAATATGGAATGATCTGCATTGCCGTGGAATATGCTGAAAAAGAGAAACCTTCGATTCGTATCATGTTTTTCTAATTGCGCCATATACTATTCATTATAATAAACACATAAAATAACAGGTTTACCCTTCTAGGGGCACTGCTCCATCAAACCAACGACTGTTGCTTTTCTTAAGTACATGAATAATTTGGAAAAGAACTTGTATAAAACTACTGTTTATACCTAACTCTTAAAGGCGACACCCTCCTTTATGGAGAGGCATTACGAACGCCAAAGTTGATACATCCCCCTCGTAAGGGTACCTGACGTGATTCGATTTAAGTCATTTTTTCACCAAGTAATGTTCGAAGATTGAGGAATGACAAATTTGAGGAATGACAAATTCAGTTTTGATGAAATCTTGTCTTATTTTTCATTTGTGCTCTGGAACTTTGAAGGAAGATCAACTATTCAATTTTAATTTGATCACATTTGTTTTCAGGATCAGTATATGGAAGTTTTTCTGGCTGACACCACCGAAGAAAACAACGTTTTTTATATCAACGATCGTCTCGTGGAATTGGGTTATGCAGTCTATTCTGATAAAGTAAGTTCTGGTGGTGCAGTCTGCTCCAATACCCTGAATAAAAAAGAGAAATTGAATAAAATTATAGCCGAACGAAAGGCAGCCAGAAATAGTTGATTCAATTAGGTTTCATCATTAAGAATATTAATGATGATGTCGATGTTTTTCATGATATTATTCTTATTATGATTATTATTTTTATTATTATTATTATTAAATTGTTAGTACATTACCAGAAACTCTTATTTGAGTATTAGTAAATAACAAGACATAAGATACTGGATGTTTCTGAGGGGTGGTTCGCCCCTATATCTTTTTTTTTTCAATGGCGAAATGAAATTGGGATATACTGGGTGTTTCTTTAGCGATTTTAGAGAAGCTCAGGAGTGATCATATACTTATGAGGTAATTTGAAAACATACCTTGTTGATCGATAATTTTACATTCTACAAAAAACTGACTTAGAATTTTCTTGCTATGTAGCAAATTTTCAGATTTTCAAAACTATTTGCTCCATTGAAATATCGTTTTTTTTTTTCAACTTCAACACCCTTGTATCTCGCTAGTCTCTGCAAAATAGTTATTTTTGTATCAAGTCCGTATAATGAGTGTTTTTTGATGGCACATGAGAGGGTTAATTTTTGAAATTCTCGAATGTTTGAACATTTTCTGTACAACTGTGAATTCACAAAACTGAGATCGTTATGTAAGGGGTTGAATCCTTCACCCGTAAAGTCTCAGGAGAGAAAAAAATGGACTGGAGGCAAATTGAGCGTGATCTTTAAGATCTTACCTTATGGTTATTTCGTGGAATTATGGTGTGGTGACGGGCCGGCCGGCACTCTGGACTGGACGTATGGGATGAATGGTCTTCCCTCAGCAACTATCTGGTACCACTCCCGTCATGAGAGATAACTAATACTTAATTGGACACTTAATGTTCCATTAACGTCTGGAGGACGGAAATTTTGTTATTGTTGAGAAAATTTTACTTGGAAAGATCCAAGGCGATCGAATTGAATGTCGGATTCGATGTACGAAAAAGTTCTAATTCTTTTATCCGCGGTGGCGTTTCTTATCAGCAGCAACATGGGGCATTTTCGGAAATATAATATATGTTCGAATTAATTGTTCTTACTTTACTATCAATTATTATTCAAATAATTGAAATTGTTTTATAATGAATATTCAATTAATAATTGAGTCTGTTGAAAGTAAATGCGTCATGAAGTATTGTTTCATGTTTATTTTGTGAATTATTTTGGCAGTGTAGAAATGTCAAAGTTTTGAACAGTGGTACAGAAAACTTTTTTCCTACAAACGTCAAATAATTAAGAGATTCGCGCATTGATAACAGTATGCGAAGTGACACTTTTTTCAGTTACCCACGTAACCACGGTGCGCGAAGTAGATACTTCGCGCATTGTCGAAAACTTATATGAGAGTTTTGTATTTAACCTTTATGGTCCCCAACAACTTATAACTAATAAGGCCTTTTGAGCCTGTTGAACACTAATTTTTATATTGAGCTTATACAGGGTGAGTCATAAGGAACTAGACATATTACTACTACTACCTCTTCTTCATCAATATTGTATATGGTGAATTATGAGATTTGGCAAAAACATCTTTTGGTCATAACTTTCCAACAGCTTCTTCGATTCGTCTGATTTTTCAATGGAATATTCCGCTACTACTCTCTAATCGACTAACTGATACAGAATCGGGAAAATCCAGGACCGTACTCGAAAATTTTTTGGTGTTTAATTTATACCAAAAAGTTTATCCTGTATATCGTTTTTGTAAACTGTGACAGGGAATTTCCAAAGGTCACAAACAAACATCAAAAATAAAATATTCCGAATTTTTCTCACACTTTCACTGCAGTTTAAAAAAAACTAGCCTGGATTTAGTAATTCAATTTGTTTTTGGCGGATAACAATCACCCTATGATCTTCTTAGAATCAGTGGATAGGTTATCTGTGGAAATGTTGATGGCCATGGTTATAAATAATTTTATGATTTCAATTCACAGTTTTATCTATTCAATTTGTTTTATTCAGTTAATTTGGTCACTTATTTTCCGTACTAGAATTATTATCCGCCTTTGTCAGTATAGCTTTTGAAAAATAATTGTGAATGAACCTTGATTTTCTGTTCGATTATCTTGAATTATCTGAATCTATGACGATGATGTTTTCGCCAAATTTCATAATTCACCATATACAGGGTGATTCACATAAGAACCGACATAGAGCAGGGGCATGTAGGGGGTCCTAAAATATGGCAATTTAACGGAACTTACCTCTATACCAAGTTGCTTCCCTAAGAAGATATAGGCTTTGAAAGTGAAGTTATAAATTTTGAAAAAAATCAACATCTCCGTTATTCTTGAACTTAAAGCAACCAAATTTGGTACACTTTGTGGATGTATTTAGGGCGTTACTTGACAGTAACTAGAGTTCAATTGGAATTTGTAAAGGGGGTATACCGGGTGGCTCACGATTAATATTAAACATAACCTCGATGGATTTCAAAAATCTTTGCTTTGTTTTGTGGGCAATTCAATTCTAAAACTGTTTACTATAGTAATTTTTTGAATAACCCCATCATTTTCATAAAAAACTCGAATAACTGAAAACGCGCGCTCTAGGTGTGTTATTTAAAATCATCGAAAATTCAAAAGTTGGCTATGAAAATAAACGTCAAACTTGACAATGAGGCAAGTAAGTTGTTCAATTAAGTAATTATTGTTTGAGTGTTTTCAAAATAAACGGGAAGTTTTTTTTAACGAGCAAGTTAACATGCTGTTAGTGCTATGCCTATAACTCCTTAGGGAAGCAACTTGGTATAGAGGTAAGTTGCCTTAAATTGCCATATTCTGGGACCCCCTACATGCCCCTGCCCTATGTCGGTTGTTATGTGAATCACCCTGTATATTGGTGAAGAAGAGAAGAAGGCACTCTCTGATGGTCATTAGGTATTCCCCCCAACGGCCTCTATTCGTGGTAGGAGTATATACAGTTCCTCATGATTCACCCTGTATCACTACTTCAGAACTAGTATTTTTGACGTTTGTAGAAAAAATGTTGTTTGCAACTCGTGCGCGAATATTTTGGTCATCATGACTATTTTTCAACTCGGCTGCGCCTCGTTAAAAAATCAGTTCTCGATCACCAAAGTAGCATTTCGCGCACTAAATACAAAAATAACTATTGTGTATAGAACAGCAAAGCGGCATAACTTCAGAATTCTTCGCCAAAGGAAGTAGTCCTAAGAATATAATGAGGGTTCCCTTTAGTGCGATCCAAAAATGTACCTACTTGCTTATTATCGAAAGTGCGGTGAATTTGGTCGATAACGTAACTAGATTCAAGCATTGATGTTTAAATATACAGGTTGACCCATCTAAAAGTCAGAAGTTGATGTCGTTTCCGGGAGTTGAAACAACTTGAGTCCAATGAATTTTGTCCCAATTCCACTATTTTTGTCATTGAAAACAAAAAAGCTATGGGTGCAAAGCAGTCCTCTCTATGGCTGTGAATATTTTGTAGATTCTTTAGTAGAAGCTGCTTGAAAATGAGTGACACAACGGGTAATTTTTCGTCGTTAATCATTTTCACATGAATAGGTGTGAAGTGTGAATAAGATTATTCTAAAATGTTTAGAATCGGATGCTGCTAGAAATGAAACTGAGAAATGATATTAAATTGGTGAGATGAATTATGTACTGACTATTTCATGAATCTATTCACAAAAAAGATTCTTGTGTGTGTACTACATAATCAACTATCAAGTCAATTCTAGAGCTATGACAAAAAGAAGACAGCGAATTTTTGTGAACACACTGTATATTTCTTGGTTAATTTTTTTTTGGTAATGTATTATCATTTTGTCGTTTTTTCATTGTCATCTAACTTGATAAATATTGCTAAATGTATTTTTAGATATTTACCTAACCTGGCAGAGCTGTAAATTTATTTTTTTGTTTTTAATAGTTTGATTTTTTTAATTATTAAAAAGTGATATTCATGTGGATATTTCATTTCCTGAGCTGATATTCACTGGAAGTTTTCGGACTTCCTGATTTCTTAACGGAACATTTTCTGTGTACAGTGTGTCCCGTTTTCGATGCTTTTGCGCGATTTTGAAAATTTATACTTTTTGGACCTATATCTACGAAGTCTCTCAGCGAAATTGTCAAATTAAAATCTCATCCCATAGATAATTGAACCCTATGCTGGAACAACGCTGTAAACGCCAAAAATGTGTTTTTTGGTAAATCAAAAAAAACCGTATATGATCGACTGTTCCATCAAATGAAGTCAAGATTTGCCTGATATGGCTAGCAAGGAAGAACTTGACTGGATGATAGGCACAATAGACTTGACCACATGCAGAATTATGATTTATGAGCATATTTTTCTCATTTCAATCAAACAACGTTATATATCCACGTCGGTTACAACGTTATTCCAGGGAACTAAGGCGGTTACAACGTTGTTTCAAGATCAAAAATAAAGCACAAGTGAAAAAAGGAAAAGAATTTTAATTATTATTTAGTTGTGTCATAACTGAGTCTGTCACAGAAACGTCCATTTCTGCTTATAACGACGATAAACTACAGACCCAACACATGTAAACAATGAAAGCGCGCGGGAAACTAGAAGCCGTGATAGCACATACAACGTTGTTCCACAAAATCTCCAAACTTGACTAACCCAAAATGACACCAGAAATCACCATAAAAATTTCCTATGCCCCCACTATCATGACAGCGGATTGTATAGGTCGCATACAACCTTGTTCCATGGAAATACCGTTTTTATAGATCTTGGCGGTTACAACGTTGTTCCAGCATAGGGTTCAATTCTACGCAGAATCCAGTGGAGCACTCAATTTTTTTTCAGGGTATGGTTGTTGAGATACGACTCAAAACTGAAAATTGTAAAATTTCGAATTTTCAAAGTGAACACCCTGTAACTCAGAAAGGAGACACATTTTATTTAGGTGATTTTGGTTGAATCTTCATACGTTTAGCTCATGATTCTTTAGTTGAAATATATCCAAGTCATAATGAAACACCCCCTATTTCAATTAATTCTACATCCTCTCAAAAAATGTCTCACCTGTATATTATTATGTGGCATAATGTTTGTCACTTCCTAAGTGGAAATAACATGAAAGGTTAGTGGAGATAATTCGGAGTTCAAAATTATCACATACTGTGGAAAAAAGCACCTAGATAAATAGTTCTAATAATGTACTAATTATAACACAATACAATAATGTTTATCTTTATTATCTGTCTTCAGAAAAAATGGCAAACCTTTTCAATATTCCAGATTTTGTTGGACATTTCTCCTCGTTTCTATAAAATAAAAATATGAATATTATTTTAATAAACGAGGAGAGAAAATCCCAAAAAGTCTGGAATAATGAATGTACCACTTCCTGGATTAACCTACAGACAGTATTTGAACCTTTTTCAAGCCATTTATCAGAGATCACACAGGGTGTTTCATGAAAGTGGGGGATAAAGAAGGAAATCAATTGTAGCATAGTAGTTTTCGAGCAGCATTATTTATAAACGAGAAATGGAATCACCATTGGTATTTTTTCCCTATAGAGTAGTGTAAGGTACTAATCCATGTATGTCTAATCTGTGATTTTGGAAATAGAAGAATGTACAGGGTGAGATGCGAAAGATCCTATTCTCATTTATTGTTATTTATTTTTCGAATAGAATTTTGAAGAAAAATAAAATCCGAATCGCTTCTGTGGTTGCAACCAAATGAAGATGGGATATCTTCAAAGCTGTTTGTCAATCATTTTGTATGGTATGTACAGTCAGATGCAAATAATATCACTAACACCATCTAACCGAGACATGTTTTTTGCATTCGACTGTGCATACAGGGTTCATCTCTAAAAATCAAACCGTCCCTGAGCTTTTTTGTTTTTGGTTCAACGGAAAGATTGTGAAGTTGGATGAAATGACTCGAATTTTGATTTCAAGATATTTTTTGGTATTTATTTTCCGTATCTTCGAAAACGAGCAACTTGAAGGAGGGTTCGATTTCAAGTGACGCCCCCTGTATCTTTCGTCTCACCCTGAAAATCAATTTTCACGTTACTTCCGGTATCCATAACACATCCTAAAATCCGTCTTTTGATTTTTTCAGGGTCAGAAGGAATCAATCGTAGACTCAATTAGCAAACCCCTTGTCAATTTCATTCACTTATTTCCAACCTTCGCGGAATTAGAACATGGATTGGCACCTTCCACTGGCGAAATGGAAATCCTGCACGATTGTAACGTACCCATCAATTTCTGTTACCCCCAGTACTTCTTCGTCGACACGTCCGACGAAGAAAAGATCATCAAACACGCCGTCTCTTTCCACGAAAAGCACTGCCTCAAGGGCATCCGAGAATTCTCCTTGCACGCCAGCCATTGCATAGACCGCTCCAAACTGGCCGAAGGCCCCCTTAACATGAGCCTATTCGGCAGCCTAGAGCCTGAGATACGCGAATTCAGCAATGCAGTCAAGAAAGAGCCTATGGACGCTGACGAGGAGTTCTCAGATGCTGTGGAAGAACCTACCAAGTGCAGCACTGAGAAAAACTTGGCCAAAATCTCCGAAAGGCTCGACATTCTCAGGTGCCAGGCTGTCGATGATGTCAGGAAAGACTGTCTGCTTTCGGAGGACATCATGAACGAAATTCTCAGCATCTGCGAGGGCAGCGAGGCTCCCAAAGTAGCCTCTGGTGCTTCCAGCGAGAAACAGCTTGAAACTTCCCTGCAAGAATTGCAAATAGACCACCAGTTTGAAGTTCACCCTGATGTGGAATACGACTTGGAGGTTGTTGAGGCTGAGCTGCAAATGCCTAATATTTCCCCTGATGTGGTCACTGAAGAGGAAGTTCTTGAAGACATAAAGGCGAACCTCGAAGACTGTGCAAAGACTGATTGCTTGGCTCAAACAAACACCAATCCTTTCTTGAGCGATTTGTTGGTAGCCTCAGAGGAGAGCATTACTAACAATTTGCCGACTTTGAACAAGAACAACCCCTTTTTGACTTATTTGGCGAAACAAGAGGAAGCAATAGAGTCTGACAGCTCTGACAAAAGTAGCGGTTCAACGGTTTACGGAACCTACGTTGAGGAAGTCACTGTGGAACAAGAATGGTCGACAGAAGACAAAGTTTCGGACGTGATGAGCGTTTCCAGCTTATCCACACAAAACTCCCACTACAAAGACGCCGTTTCCACCATACCCTACGAGGAACCCGTGCAGCAAATCCTACCACCGCCCACCCCCTACTGTTCCCCCTATTCAGTGCCCTATTTCCAACATGATTTGCTCGCCAGCAACCCCTACTATAGGACGAGGTTCACGAACTTCGGTTACCCACAGCAGTCGTTCTTTCCGTCGGTGATGCAGCCGATGAACCGGTTCGGTTTCGGTCCGCAGGGGTCGAGTCTGGGCCATCGGCCGGCCATTTGCCCGCCTCCGGGGTTCGGACCGACTGCTCAGCAGCAAAACACGGGGCAGGGGCAATGGCCGACTGCTCAGCAGCAGAACGCGGGGCAGGGGCAATGGTCGACTGCGCAGCAGCAGAACGCAGGGCAGGGGCAATATTTGAGGTTTGGGTTCGTGCCCAATATGGCGGTCGGCGGGCAGTACAATTGCGTTTCGAGGACGTCGGTGTCGAATGTCAGTGTGACCAGTGATAGGGACTTTTACGAGATGTACAACGAGCGGTTGAGGATGCAGGTTCGAGATACTTCTAGCGAATGAGAATTGTTTTTTTCCTTTTTCGTTCAGGTAATGGGGTTTGTTGATGGGGATGATAAGCGTCAAACTTCGAATATTTTGATGAGCTTGAAGGATTATAGGAAAAACTGGTTGTTTTTCTATACTCTGTGAGCATGTTTTGGTGTATTTGCTTATATAGGGTGGGTCACCGTTAGTGATACTTTAGACGTTTACGGAGGGGACAAAGGATCATTCTGACAATTTGGTTACTTAAGTAGTTGCTCTTGGTCTATCGATCTAAAATATTTTAAGCAATGCAGCGTTGCCGGTTATACCAGAAAGTAGTAGCAACTTTGATATTTCAAATATGGAATATCAAAGTTGATATTACTTTCTGGTATAAGCAGCAACACTGCATTGCTGAAAATATTCCAGATCCATAGAACAAGAGCAACTACTTGAGTAACCGAATTTTTAGAATGATCCTATGTCCCGTTCTCCGTAAACGTCTAACGTACCGTCGATTGTGACCCACCCTGTATCAAATATACAGGTATACAGCAAACATTTCGAATGAAATTTCGAATTCCTCGAATTGAACGTTACATTGTTTCAAATTTGAACACATTCCACATATTTGTGAGATCAAGTAGGTACTTCAATGTTGACAAAAATTATTGAATTCACCTAGAATTACATAAGGAACTGAAAAATGGTAGGAGAAATAGTGGTTGCCATTCAAAATTTCAGATGTAGTTGTAGTAATACGACAATGAACTATTTGACAGTTGATATGTCAATTGACATGTTTTGCCAAATTTTCAACTGATATATCAATATGATATACAGTGTGACCCACTTCTAATGAAAACACCCCTGTATCTCACGTAATCGTTGGGTAAGGATCCTGATATTTTCCAGGAAATTATATTAGGAGTCAAAATTGGTTGAAAATCACTTCGGATTCGGAATCAGGACACCCAATTTACTAACTATTCATAGTTTTCCTAAAAAAATTGAATTGGGTCTCACTCCTCATGGAAGCACCCCCGTATCTCACTTGATTATTGAGGTAGGGTTCTGAAATTTGCAGGAGGAACGAAAAGTCCAAAGATAAAGTCAAGTATGTAAAATACGGAGGTGCTTCCGTAAAAAGTGCGACAAAATTCAATTTTTGAGAACTGAAAATTTTCTAGGAAAAAAATGAAAAGTTAGAAAATTGGGCGTCCTGATTCCGAATCTGAACCGACCTATTTTGACTCCTAATATCGTTTTCTGGAGATTGGGGTGGTGCCATGGCCGTTGGCGAGCAGTGTATATCACTGAAGATGACCCCACTTGGTCATGGAGTGCATTTTTGGATTATCTCTCGCTCACACCAAATTTCAGGATCCTTATCCGACGATTACGTAAGATACAGGGGTGTTTCCATTATAAGTGGGTCACACTGTATATCAAATGATGTTCGTTTTAGAACATGGAAGAAATGAAACAATTTGATATATCACTGTGTTCATATGGTTAAGACTGACTCTTATCGTTAAAAAAACAATTTTTTACATAATATGGCGTCTTTTTGTTTAGTTTTTTGAATAATTGAGCCCTCATAAAATTATTGAGTTTGAAGCATTGAGATGGTTTAGTCATAGCCTCTGGTTTAGTGTTACCCCCTGTTCTCGACCATATGAAATCAATAAAGGTCGGATAAGTTCGTTATATTTCAAGCTCTCGTTGACGTACTGTCATTAATTTTTTTTGTGATTGAATTTAAACACGAAAAATGTCTTACCTTCACTTTCTGGAAACCATTTTGGAATCTCTGGACTGTGTAGAGGCTATAAAGGAACGTTTCAAAAGAGATATTGATAAAGATTGTACATGGTGTCTCCAAACATATTAACCCCACCTACAGCTTCAACTATACGAGGTGGAAAAAAAAACTTCAAATATAAAGTAGGGTTCCATCTGTACTATCTTTTGGCACTCCTTTAGCAAACAAATGCGAATCGCAAAATGAAAAAATAGAGTCCAAATCAGGATTTTGAATTTTTTTCCAAATGAAACACTATATTTTCAATTCAAGTGAAAGATCTTTCTCTTCTATTCAGTGTAATATATAGTTTGCTAATATTCCCTTGAGCCGTTTTTCATTTATTCAGCTTTTACAATATTAAATCAAGATTGCCAATAACATTAAGATGGCCGTGGACGCAACAGAATGCCATTGGTATTGGTATTGGTAGGTTGGATAGTGACAGATGCGCTCTGCTTCTGCTATATCAAGGATTTCTTGTTTATAGCAGCCCCTCGAGATTCAATTCCTTCAGGAATTTGAGGATTTTGAGGGGGTCCAGCTGTGGTATTTCTTCCACAGTCAGCTGGGTGTGTTCCCAGTATGTTCAATCTTTTGTGATGTACAGCGTCACACTCCATCAGTATGTGATGGGGTGTTTCTGGTTCTTCCTCACAGAATCTGCAGGTGCCGTCCTCCTGTAAACCTAGCTTCCTTAGGTGTTCTTCGAGTCTGCAATGCCCTGTTAGAAATCCCGTTATTGCTTTGAGACTTCCTATGGTGAGGTTTGTCAGTGTCTTAGATCTTTCTCTGTTGAAATTTCCAAGGAGATCTTTAGCCTGCCGTAGTCCTGGAAGTCTTTTCCATTGTCTGGCTCTCCAGGCTCCTTTCGCCTTCTCAAGTTCTCCTTGGAAATAGGAATATCCAAGGCCGCAGAATGGCTCTGGTCCGATCAGTGGCGTTGAAGCCCCTTGTCGTGCCAGAGTGTCTGCTTGTTCATTCCCCTCTACTCCAATATGCCCTGGCACCCAGAGGAGGATCACTTTATCGTTGCTGCCTAGCTCATTCAATTTGCTTAGGCATTCCCATACCATCTTCGAGTTGATGTAAGGAGAGCTCAACGCTTTGATGGCTGCTTGGCTATCGGATAACATCGCGATGTCCTTCTTCCGGTATTTCCTGTCTAGGTTGAACTGGATGCATCTTTCTATGGCGTGTATTTCCGCTTGAAAAATGCTGGGGAATTGTTCCATGGATTCGAAGTATTTGGTGCGAGGCCCAAAGACTCCTGCTCATGCCATGGAATCAAAACAGTTTTTTTTTGACATCTCTGTTGGTTTCTTGATAGCTTAAACTATACAAGCTGGAGAAACACTTCAAATATAAAGTAGGGTTCCATCTGTACTATCTTTTGGCACTCCTTTAGCAAACAAATGCGAATCGCAAAATGGAAAGAGTCCAAATCAGGTTTTTCAGATGAAACACTGTATATTTTCAACTCAAGTGAAAGATAATTTTCTTCTATTCACTATAATATATAGTTTGATATTGCCAATAACATTTAGATGGCCGTGAACACAACAGAATGCCATGGAATCGAAACAGGATTTTTTTGACATCTCTGTTGGTTTCTTGATAGCTTCAACTATACGAGCTGGAGAAAAACTTCAAAAACGAAGTAGGGTTCCATCTGTACTATCTTTTGGCACTCTTTTAGCAACCAAATGCGAATCGCAAAATGGAAAACAAAAAGAGTCCAAATCAGGTTTTTAGATGGAACACTGGATATTTTCAACTCAAGTGAAAGATTCTTTTTCTTCTATTCACTATAATATACAGAGAAGTGCACGAAAAACGGCCAGTGGTGTGTCTTCTGAATTATTCTAGATCGGATTTCGAAAATTGATGGGTAGCAAGTATACCAAATTATTCATCAATTGACAAAACAACTTTTGTTCAATCACTTCCGATCTCACCAGAAACTACCCTAACTTTTGATTTTTCAATGTATTCCATTCAATAATCGGTTAGAGATTATTATGAAAAATTCAACGATACCGTGTTTGATAGGGTTAATTCAAACGACTACGAAGATATTCGCGTTCTAAGTTTCCATTTGCTCAATAAGTGGGACAGAGAAAGATGTTTCCATATTCCGAAGTCACACCCATTGAGCATATGGAAACTTGTGATAGTAATATCCCAAAAATGTGTTCAATATATTATGAAAAAAATTTCAATGGTTATCTTGAATGGCTTGGAATGGACTTTTCAGCCTGCGTATTTTTTATTGTTAATTTGGTTTGCATGAATGGTAACATTTTAGCTACTCCTTACTTGATGATTGTTAATTGATAATTGTTACTTGATAATTGTAAATTGATGCTGTATACATCCACACTAAGAGTTGAAAATATACATGGTGTTACATTTAAAAAAACTGATTTGGGTTTGAGTGTCAAAAGACACAGATGAAATCCTTCAAATTTCATATTACATGTATTTTTTCCACCTCGTATAGTTAAAGCTGTATGTAGGCGTCAGAATATAAGGAGACACCGTGTACGAATATTTTTTTACGAACATCCTGGAATAAATTCATTTTTATGATGAAAATAAACCTACCTACCTAATTGTTTCTGATATTAGGTTTTCCTTTTCTTCAAACAATAATTTGGTTATTTGAAAAAATACTACAGAGAACCGGATTTTTTCAGATTTGTTGTTGTTGTTGTTGTTTTGTGATGGGTCTACACGAATCGACCTACTTCATAAATTATTATTCTGTTTCAGGTTTCTAAAGAGTTCCATGTATTATTTGATAGCCATTGATATTTTTGTGATACAGGAGGTGTATTTGTTTTGTATTGAGAATATTGTTCTGTTTTTTATTATTGATGAAACATGATGTGTAGATTTTTTTGTACCCTACCTCAATACCTATATATTTGAATAGGTACTTATTATGATAAAATGTTAAGTTGCCTCAAGTGCTATTTTTTTTTCTTCCAAATTGGCATTATTAAACAATCCTAAACCAGTTTTTTATCCTCGTTTCTAAATAAAAATATGACTAATATTAATAAGGACAAATCAGAAGATTATATACGCCATTTTTTTCGAACCCTTGCCGAGCCGTTCCAGAGTCATAAAAACTCGATCACCCTGTATTGTACTGTGAGAATTAATTTTTAAAAAATGTTTGATCGTAAATTATCTGACTTTCTTTTATTGTTGCTAAATCTATTTTGTTATCAGTGAAATTTTTCGAATTTCTTACTACCCAGGTGGTAACTGCTAATCCTAATCTAATCTCCGATATAATAATAATATAATAAATCATTCATAAACTACTAGCAATATAGCCGGTTGTAATTCGATGGTATTCGGTATACAGGATTTCTTGTAAAATACGCAAGATATAATTCTGTTTAATTCGATTTTGAAGAATACAAATCACATTCAATGATTGAAAAATTACTAGAAGCTCATTTCTGTGTTTTTCATGCCTCAACTTGACAGTTTTGACATGATGAAAATAATTTTTTCTCCAATTGGCAGCAAATATTAATTTTGCTGACACATATCAATCAGCAAAGTATTACTTTTCCTGCCTAGGCAGCATAGTGGGTACTTTGCTGCCTAGGCAGCAAAGTGGTTACTTTGCTGATTGATATGTATCAGCAAAATTAATAATCCATAAATCGTTTAAAATTCCCTTCATATTTCATCCGAGACTTCACCGGCAACAAATTCAACTCCATATTTTTTGCCACCTCCCTTATTTCTGGAGGTTTAAGTACTTCCAGGTCGCTATCACTGTCCATTATATAATAATTTAAATATACCGATATTTTTTTGCACAACTGTCAGAAATTTCATGAATTGTCAAACTATAATTATCATGGTCATTTCCATAGCAACCAACCATTCCAACAACTGCGATTTCTATCAAATTTTATTTCAATTGAACACTACAGGAAAAATAAAGAGGTATATATCATTATGAACAATCGGAGAAAAAAACTATATGTTCAACTCGGCAGCAAAGTAGATTGAATGCCTTAGCTGGATTCCTAGCCTCGCTACGCTCGGCTATGAATTCAGCCTCGGCAGTCAATCTACGCTCGGCTATGAATTCAGCCTCGGCAGTCAATCTACATTAGCATCTGCGGACAGGCGCAAGTAATAACTCCGTGGTGGGAGAACGTTATAGTGGGCAGTAGATGCGACTGGCGTTATGCGGCGCCGACTGAATGACTTCGTCATACTTCGTCTCGTAAGCAACTGGTTGGCTCAGTAAGTAGAGCATCGGCATGCCAAGCCGACGGGCCGGGGTTTGAATCCGTGCGAGGCTCATCTTTTTTTTTTTTTCTTGTTCTCAAGTGATTTCTAAAAAAAATTCTCTATGGGAAATAGGTTCATTTAGGGGTTTTCTATGTTTAGGCCAGAGGTGAGGTTCGGTTAGGTTAGGTTAGAATAGAATAGAATATTTTATTTGGTGTTAATAAACATTAAGTTTCACACAGGTCAACGAAACAAGTACAGATATACTCATAAAATAGATAGGTTAGGTTTTCTCATTTTTTATGCAGGAACAATATTTTCCTTCCTCAAGTAAAATTCTCCTTCTAGAATATTTTATTTGGTGTTAATAAACATCAAGTTTTACACAGGTCAACGAAACAAGTACAGATATACTCATAAAATAGATAGGTTAGGTTTTCTCATTTTTTATGCAGAAACAATATTTTCCTTCCTCAAGAAAAATTCTCCTTCTTCAAGAAAAAAGGTTCATCTAGGTCGATTGATTGTTAAAAAAAAATTCCTTCCTTATATTAGACTCGACATAAGTTAACTAACGTTCCCCTACTGGAGTTATTAATTGCGCCTGTCCGCAGACGCTAGTGTCAATCTACTACTTTGCTGCCTAGTTAAACAAATAACTATTATTACTTACTAGATTTTTGTCTACATATTCTACATTCAGTTGGTCAAATGGTGCATGCATACATACATTCTACTATTTTGAAAATTTCACAGCAGTGATTTTTATACAGTTAAATTGGGTTTTTATGACAAATTACCATACCCTTATGTATTTTAGTGGAAATTTCAAACCAAACATTTTCGATCAATTTAAAGCCTGTATTTCGTATCGTTACCATAGCAACTAAACAAATAATAAAAATATGAAACTCAGAAAAACCGGTGGCGTAGAATGATAGTTACCAGCATGAATATCGATAAATTTACCCATAGTGACCTTTTACAGATACCCTGTATATCTCCAAATGCGAACGAGATATACAGGGTGTTTCAGACTTGAATGTACAAACGATACCTGTAGATAGAGGACACTTCAGTGGTTCCAAATCACCCCCCATCGATATGTCTACCGTCTTTTATAACTGAGATACAGGACGTTATCTTGATTTTGGCAAAATCTTCATCTGGTTATAACTTCTGAACCACTTTGTATATTCTATCCATACTTGGTAGAAAAATTCCACCTATATTACCCATCAAAACTAAATAAAAATCCGGATCAGAATCCAGGTCCGTCTTGAGAAAAAAACGGGAAACTTCTTTTTTCTCAAAAACAACACTCTGTATGGCAAAATTTCATAGATCGGTTTTGATATTTGAAAAGAGCGGAAAAAAATTAATGAAGGGACCTACTTTTTACGAGTGCGCATCCAATTTGAGAGATGGTATATTATCATGTTTTGAAATATTCAGCTCGATCCATTTCGAGGCATTTTTATTGAACTTATAATTCAAAACCCAATTTTAATACAGAAGAATAACAGTCTCCCAAGTTCAACATCATTAAAATCAAACAGGTGAACTATCGAGGACTCATTTTATACTTTACTATTTATTCATAAGCTGCGGTAAAGTAGGCTCTGTGAAAAAAAAAAAGAAAATTCTGACAGTTCATAATCACTAGTGATATTATCGGTGAAGTTATTGTAGGCATAATTATGAACACTTTGGATATGACCTGTCAAAATTCAAAATATCAGATTTTGTTGTACAGCCTATACTCAACCGCAGCTCGTGAATTGATAGTGGAGAATAAAATGAGCCCTCAAAAATGTATGATACTGTAGACAAGTTATTCTGTCACAACAAATCCATCGATAGTTCACCTAATTTGACTCTAATGATGTTAAACTTCGAAAACTACTATTTTTTTGTATCAAAATTGAATTTTGAGTTATAAGTTCAATAAAAATGCCTCGAAATGGAGCTGAATATTTCAAAACATGATAATAAACCATCTGTCAAATTGGATGCGCACTCGTGAAAAGTAGGTCACTTATTCCATTTCCTCCCGCTCTTTCCAAATATCGAAACAGACCAACAAAATTTTGCCATACAGAGTGTTGTTTTTGAGATAAAAGAAGTTTTCTGTTTTTCCTGAAGACGGACCTGGATTCTGATCCGGATTTTTATTTGGTTTTGATGAGTAATATAAGTGGAATATTTCTGCCAAGTATGGATAAATTATACAGAGTGGTTCGAAAGTTATAACTGGATGAAGATTTTGCCAAAATCAAGATAACGTCCTGTATCTCAGTTTTAAAAGACGGTAGACGTATCAATGGGTGGTGAATTGGAACCACCGAAGTGTCCTCTATCTACAGGTATCGTTTGTACATTTAAATCTGAAACACCCTGTATAAATTAATAGAAAAAAATAATTAAACTCTGTCCACCTGTATAGTTCCGCTACTGATCGAGATCAGACTCATGTTCATATAAACTTTTTTGATTAAAATGCTGGTATCTATCACCCATTTCAGTTTGAACTTTAAAACCTGAATGTGTACATACTTCAATCATATGAAAGTATTTTGTTTTGCTAGGTTTAGATGGATATCCTACACTAATTAATTCACTTGATACGATCGAAAATAATCCTCCACTCAACAAATTATCTATGAACGGAATTCACATTGAAAATAGTAGGATGTAGTTATATACTCACACCTATACGTGTGCCTATACTGGGTGTCTCAGAGCGTTTAGACCATGAGAAAGGAAAATGGCTTTCGGTTAATTTTTCTGAAAATTTGACATGTTTCAGATATTAGCGTCCTTTTTACACAGTCCAATTTACAGATCGATCCTATGACCAGTTTTCGAGCTACAGGGTGTCAATCATTTGATTTTGGCTGTTTAAAATATTTTGCATCGATTTGAATTATGTGCTCTATAAGTCGTGATAAATCTTCAGTAGAAATATATAAACGCTCCACGTCAAAATTTCTACCTCATGAATCCCTCTATCCGAATAGATAATATCACATACAAGGTATTGCATTCCATTAGGACAAGGTTATATTCATGGGAATAGACAAATATTGAAATTATCAGAATTTCTATTTTTACTCAATTACTGGAAACTTGAAAACAAACGGCTATATATGTAGAATCGGCCAAAAAGTGGAAAATAATAAAATGTCTCATGAATGAATGACACACACTCTACACTCTGTATATTGAGAACTATATGTATTCTCGTTCCAGGAAGGCGTAGTTTCCAATAATACAAAGTGTGTCAAATATGTATATTATATAAAATACTTGTAGAAAATTAATCCTCATTCTTATCTTATGTCTATGGACATGGATCACACATTTATTTCCACCCCTGTTTTTAAAGGAATATTTTGCACACATATTTAGACAATGAATTGGTATTTATTTTTTTCCACTAAAACAAAGAAAAATATCAAAACAATTCACGAGATCAAAATGTTGTATTTTTAGTTAATCAAAGGATATGAAGATATAGAATTCAAAAAAATAAATGGCGCACATTTTATTGACAATAATATTCGGTAGGGTGCCCCCGGGACGCCACTGGATTTCACAATTCGAATTCAATTATTGCCAAATCAGCCCCTCATGACACAGAATATCACCGAAAATCGGTGGAAGAATATTCGAGATATTCATGAAGGAACGATTTTTGTTAAAGTTTAACACACTGTATCTTGAAAACTGTGCATTTCCGGACCCACGTATACATATAGTATATTGTTTTATTTCTGACAGTGACATTATAAGCTTATATCGTCATAGTTACGATATCTATTATGAGGGTCATAACTCCCTTGGGATGTTATAGATGCTATAATTCCCTCTGACTAAAATTAAATAAGAAATGCATAGCAACAACCACGCAGTAACGTAGCAATAAGGAATCTCCTATTCGCGGTAGTCAAGATCATCATCTGACGTTCTGATGACATTGAAACTATACGGAAAAACATGTCTAACTTCCAATCGGAAAGGTATCTAATGAATGAAATCAGTCAGAAATAAAATTATCTATGTATCACGGGAATTACTGAGCCTCAATAACCTCAGGCAATTGCTGTCCCTCGGGCCAGAGGCCCTCGGGACGCAAACTTTGCCATCGGTAATTAAGGCCCTCATAATTCCCTTAATACATAAATAACTATAACGAGCACGATATGATACGAGAATTAGGTCTGCAGCATATAATTTTTCTACGGCTGTAACCGATGCTGTAACAGAAAACAGCGGCATTTCGATTTCTTCGGCTTGTAGCCATCTGATTTCCTGTCGAGTGATGCTCATCTATTAGACAGAGCTGTCATTGCCTCACATTTGACATTCCATGAGCGATGAGATTTTTCTGAAATGATAACACAATGGACTCATTGTGATATCAGATATACGGAAATGAAATTGATGACATATACAAAGTACCTCATTGATTTATCGAGCACAGTAAAACAAGAGCAATTTTGTGTTATAGCCGTATATTATTTAACGAGCACGGAATGATAGTGATTTCCTCATTCGAGTAGGAAATCAGCATTCCGTGCAAGTTCTACACTATAATTTTTCTACGGCTGTAAAGAGATAACAGCGAAATTTTCGATCTCTTGGGCTTGTAGCCATCTGATTTCCTGTCAAGTAATGCTCATCTATTACACAGAGCTGTCATTGCGTGCAATTGACATTCCATGAGTGATGAGATTGTTTTTGAAATAATAACACAATGGAGTCATTGTTGTGATATCAGATACGGAAATATAATTGATGACATACAAAGTACCTCATTGATGTATCGAACACAGTAAAACAAGAGCAATTTTGTGTTAAAGAGCCGTTGAAAAAATAAATTTCATGTTTTCTCGCGCAGAATGATCCCCTTTGTTTTTTACGCATGATTTCCGGACACCCTGTATAAGTATTTTTTGTTGAGATGTCACAGGTGAGAACCTACTTGTGATATATGATTATAATAGGTATTTATCCCATTATATCTGATGATCCCTCGATTGATTTAGAGTGGATACGATTGCTATCTAAGTACAAGTATAAATACCAAGTGAAGAATGAAAATATCCTACTTGATACAGATTCTCCAGCAAGATGGGGTCGTGGTTGGTTCTTGCTTTGTCTTGCATATTTTTCATCCTAGTTGAATCTGGTAAGATATGCGAAAAAGATGTGGTTGTTTCTACGAGTACAGGGTCGGTCAAGGGTTGTTACACCGCAGAGAGGACGTTTGGTAAAAGGAAGCCCTTGTATTGGTTCCGCAGCATTCCTTTCGCAGAACCCCCTGTAGGAGATTTGAGATTCGCGGTAAGTACCTATATGATGTATACTGGGTGTTTCAGGCATACCTTCTTATAGTGTCAATAGCCAAAATAATAAGGAGAAAAGTTGATATTAATATTGGTGAAGATTTGTACTAGTTGCATCCATTCACGTAACTGATCAATAAAAATATTTCGTGTAAAATTTATTATAAAATTGCAGAGCGCTTTCGGCTGAAAAGCCATCATCAGTGCTATACCTGCAAGTAAGTAGGTAACATTTATGAAATTTCAAAAAGACAAATCAGGAAGTGTAGATTACTTACTCGTCAAGAATTTACAAAAAGGTCCAAAAATTAGAGTAATCGACGTTGTTTTTTTAAAATGTATGTCTGGTCCTAATTCCGTTTGGACCATAATGATGTCGTCGATTGATAATTTTTGGCCCTTTTTGTAAATACATGAAGAGTAAAGTAATCTACACTTTCTTATTTGTCTTTTTGAAATTTCATAAATGTTACCTTCTTGCAGGTATAGCACTGATGATGGCTTTTTACCCGTAAGCGCTTTGCGATTTTATAATGAATTTTACACAAAATACAAAATCTCTTTTATTGAATATTAATATTATCTGAGTCTGAATTCAGATCAGTGACGAATTCTCGATCAAATTAGTATGATGATGGCATACTGAGAACTTGCATTGAATTTGGAGTGATACTATCTCAGATACCAATTCGTCCAAAAAATTTTCTTCAGGTTTTCTTATATTGTAGCATATGGAATATGATGTTAAGTTTTTCAATTTTAGTTGAAGATTACGCTTAGTAGGTATGCTTAAGCCCTGGCATTGCACCATTATTTTCCCATATCATTTGTTTGTATAGATGAAATAATGACGAAAATTCATTTTTCCTCCAAGTAAAACTTATTTTATATAGGGTGTCCCGAAATTTCTGGAACACAGAGCTACCACGTGTAATATAAAGTTCAGTACCATTTGTCCGTGAGACGACGAGTTCAAAGTTGCATTTTTTTTACACTGATAAAATAATACAAATTGGAAAAAACTTGACAAGAGTGCATTTTAGAGAATAACCCTTCTTCAGTAATCAAAGAAACCCGAGAAAAATTGTAGAATGGTTGAAACCACCCTCACCCCCTGACATTTTTTTCAGAACATTCTTATAGGGGTGATAATACGATTCTCAAATCCCTTGAGCAAGATTAGTGATTGATTATCTTCATTTTGTTACTCCTGGGAAAGTTTCGTATTGTCACAAATGATAAGATATTCTCAGTCAAATTCCGAAAATTCTTCTAAAAATCATATTGGTTCGAAGTCATTGAACGTTCACGTATCTGTTTATTATTTCCAAAATTATTGAACCACGAACTTTCGATTAATAGTTGAACCTAAACACAGGCGTGACAATGACTTCAAACCATCCACCTGACTTCCTCACTGTCACGTTTCCAAAATATAGATTGGATATATAAATGGCGCGAGGAAGCCAGCACAGGTATCTTTTCGATCATTCAATCATTCGATCATTCCGATCAGTTTGATCATTTTCGATCATTCGATCAGTTTCATCATTTGCCACTGTGCCCGAACCGTCGGAGTTCGGGCAGAACAGAAGATGCCCTTCCTCTAAGGTCCCAGCAATATTAGCTTTTAATGTACATATAGGGTAAGTTAAGTTTTTATTTATTGTTAATCAGAAACCAAAGAATAAATGTGTGTATATGTTTTGTTGAAAACCCTTTGGAGTATTCTTTATTATTATCATTTTCAAAGTTCATTCTCTAATAGATCTAGAACACAACTTAGGCAACCCCCGCCTACAGCTTGTGACATGGTGGAGGCGCCAATGGCTCGTTCCCGAGGTTGGTTCTTCATAACCAACCTCACTTTTTCAAATTTCATGTTCTTTCGTTTTTTAAATTATATTATTTTTATCAAATTATGAATATCAAAGTTAGATGAATATTTTAGTAAGACAGTTTTCATTATTTTAAGGATTGAATGTAAAAATGTGTTTTTATATGGGGCATCTGGCCAGGATTTGCGAACGGTCCAGCATGCTAAAACTGGACTGCCTCGGTTTGATCTTCAAATGGGGCGTTCCTGGTAGTGCATACAGATAGGCATGCCAAAACCATCTGTACCCATATGAAAACTATTTGAAATGGATCAATTTGGGTTTAGTTACTTAGTCGATTGTGATGTGTTGAAAAGCATAGACCAACTAGTGTTTTGATTAAGATGAGCTTTATTGCAAAATTTTAAATGTCATGAGGTGATATACAGAGTGTTTGAAGGAGTAATTTGAATTTTTTGTGTGGAAATGGAGTTTATTTAGATATATGGATGAAAATAATGAGGAATTATTGAGATTTATTATGATTTTTTTTTGTATCGAGAGAAATGTATGGAAGTGAGAAAATATGAGGCTCACAGTTCACAAGAGATTATCTGGTTCCGAAAGGGATGGAACTAGAACGTTGAGGGTATTCGTGGATATTTGTTATTGACTCATAACATGAATTTAGCCCTAGAATATTTGTTTCCACGATGAATACATTACTCAAAGCAACGTAATCACCTCAATGACTAAAGTTTCATCAGAATTTAGTATACACAGTGAAAAAAAAATTACACCAGCTAACACCATTTAACACCAACCGGTGTCCAGTGAGGTCCTGATTGTTTAAGTGTCAATTAGCACCGGCCTTTTCTTCACCATCATAGGGTGTCATGTGGTCTTCTCTATTGGTGTTCGAATGAATCAAACCCCGTCGGAAGATACTCTGGTCTTAGTGCGAATGAGCTCTTCAGTGGTGTTAATTATGCATTTCCGTATATGTAATTTGACACCGTGGTGGTGTACTATAAAATTATATGGTGATTTTCTTGATGCTGAGCTCTACTTCTTGATAATTCTTATCGGTGTGTTGTTACACTGAGCAGATACGTGCGAATACTTTTCTGGTGAAAAGAAACACCTTATTGAGTGTAATCAGGCAGAGAACCAGTGCGTTTTTGTACCTCCTCTGGTGTTTTTTCACCAGGTTGGATTATTGAAACAAAATTTATTAGATGTGATACAACACCACTTCGACATATTTACATCAGCATTCAGTGTTTTTCCTATATTCTCCTGGTGTAATTTTAGCATTTTTTTATAAATTAAACCACATTTTATGATATATTTATGATACTTGTGAGTGTTTTTCATAAACGAAATAGTGTGCCACATGAACATTTGGTGTATTTTTCATCGAGAATAGTATATGCTCGACACTCTATCTGGAGTGAATTTCACACAAAACAGGTACAGGATCTTCACGTTTATTTTGAACCCCAACTTAACTTTTTTATGTATTGTAAAAAAAATTTTTCAAGAAATTTTCTTCCACATTTTTTTCTGTAGATTTTATATTATATGCCAACAATCAGTTGAACATCTCAAAAATATTCATGGGCAACATTTATGAATTCTCAAACAGGCACCCTACCCTGTATTTTATTGCTTTTTCCGATTCTCCCTGAAGAGCTAATTTCATCGATCAATCACACTAAGGGTCCAGCTGAAATGATTAAAAAGATGATAATATAGTTTACGAAACTTTAGGGATGTTTTGTGTCGAAACTATTCATTATTGGCCAGAACAGTTTCCATATTCCTGTCATGACTTGATTTTACTATTTACTAACATTTTTTAATTGAAACAAATACAGGGTGGTGAAAAGTTCAGAATTCTGATGACCCTGTATTTGTTAAATAATTTTTCACATCTTATATCTCTGTAATCATTTCAGGTAGACCCCAAGTGTGATAGATCGATGGAATCAGCTCTCCAGGGAGAATCTGAAAATGCAATAATATACAGGGTGTCCTATTTGGATATTTATGAATGTTGCCGATGAGAATTATTTGAGATGTTCAACTGTATTTCTGTTGGCATATATAGTCTACAAAAAAAATATGAAGAAACGTTGCTTGAAAAAAAGAATGAACAATAAATAAAAAAGTTAAGATGAGGTTCAAAATAAACCTGGAGACCCTGTACGAGTGTACGTGTTGGCATTTTTTTGTTTTTTTTGCACTGCTGAATATTGGTGGTTCAACTATAGGCTCATGGAATATAGGTACATAGAAAGAATAGGTTGAGAACGACGTTTTATTCTTGAGATTCTTTCGAAACGAGTAAGTGTCAAGAAATAGTTTTTTATTTTCTCTTCCTTCGTTCAATTCCTTTTCAATAACGTCAGGATTCGTCGTTGTCTCATCACCCACAGGACTATGGCTTGTGTTTTTTTCATGCAGAGGTTTTGAAGAGGAGCCTTCTTGCTTATGAATCCTATTGAGAGTTCTCAATCGGTTGGATAAGTAACCACCATTGGTTGAGGGAATGAAGAATATTTCCTAAAAATTCAGAGGCATTATCGTGTATAATTACTATGTAAAAGTTAAACTCACATATCCACCAATTGAACTTTCCAAGTTTCGATAAGTGGGGAAAATTTCCACTAATGATTTGGCGAATTCCATCTTAGCACTCTTCGGTACAGCAGTTCCATACTTGTTGAAGAGGATATTAGCAACTATATTAACTAACTGGATACGGCACCTGTCAGTCAGCAATTTTTTCTCATTGTATTGGTCTAGAATATACTGCCCACCGGCACGTACAATATATTTCAGTAGATCCTGTTGATAAAAAAGAATATTATTTCTAATTTGAAAACATCTTTGATGTGTAGCACAGTTGAAATATGGCAGAGTCCTCAAAACCGATTATAAATGGATATTAAAGGAAAACTAGTCTTATATATCGAAGACTGGAACCTTTGGCACGATAATACACTACACTGTTTTACTACTAACCAAACCGATTTTTTAACGCCTCGACACGTGTTTCGCTAACTATGTTAGCATCTTCAGGAGAAGATTAAAAAGAAATATTTAGGGAATCCCTAGACTTTTTTAAAAATATTCTGTCCCATTCAAAGTTCCCAGACTTTTGAAAGACACTGTA